CAGAATAATAAAAAACAAGTAACAAAGCAGATCAGAGAGGAAGCCATGGAGAAATTTAAAGAAGATTTTGGCTATCAAACTAAAGCCCAGGTTGTGAAACAACTAGGCACTGTCCACTCCATCACCTTAAAGTAGATGGTACACCTGTAAACCCAGCAAGTAGGGCTTTGTGACAAACCAATTTTGACCAAATTTTCTGTAAAAAAAGGTTAAACTTTTGGAAAACCGTGACTCGTTTGACCTTTGCACCCCTTGGGCAAAGGTAAAATAGGTGAGAGTGATGCGATCACCTTAATTTTATTGTACAAATACTTAAAACTGTTTTACAAGCATGTGTCATAGATTGTAATTAGTTGGAGTTTGAAATCAGCTTAACTTCCAGAATGGATAATTGAAGAATAATTGTCATTTCGTGTTTGTTTCAAAATAAAATTGAGATTTTGTTTTCAAGCTATCCTACCCCACCCTACTATAAAGACTTGGCCATCTAGCCAATAGGCTAGACTTTGAAGCATGGAGATGAAAGTGTCATGGTCTGGGGATCCTCACCATCACAGAAATCACTACAAATTTTACATAAATCCACCATGAAATGCTCTATATCAAAGGGCGGAAAATGTCTGATAATAAATTGTAAAAGAAAATTATAAAGCAAAGCTGAATCCTTAGAAGTCAATGATTTAAACATTGCTGTAAATACAACGAAACAGCTGAAAATTAAAGCACGTAAAGTCCATGTTGACACAGAACATGATAACCTCCAGATTTGATGGCATCCAACTCCAAGGTGTATGCAAGAAACCGCTCAAATAATTGAAAACTTTAACTGAGGAGTGGGGCAAATGTTCCTTAGATGATGTCAAACACAGGTAGACGCGAATCTCGCTGAAGTTAAGCTAAGGTCAGACTGGTTCTTTGGAGCATAGATTATTTTAAATCTTTTTCCTTTGAATTGAAAAACAACATTAAGGTTGCCTTTAAAAGAAAGTACTTTCATCAGTATGCTTACATCTTTAAGATCACATTGAAATAATTAGCAAAACTGTTATGCAGTTCTATAGGGATAAAAGGTATAGTGAACATGCACTTGGTTTATTTGTAAACCAGATGCTTTAGCAAGTGAGTCATCTAATGCACTTTGCAAAGTAAGAACTTTTTTTTTTAAAGCCTTTTAGTATTGTACTTATAAACAAAGCAATAGCATCTTCTGCAGCTCCTCGTCCAAAGCCACATTTTAATCTAGATGGCCAACACAGGATCAAAAGGTCTCAAATTGGTTGTATAGGAGATTTACTTCTTGGGGTTTTGCCTTCTTGACCACTTCAGAGATAATTAGGGTCACATTTAAAATCCTGTTTTTTAATGTCAGAATAGGACATTTCTGAAAGGCCCATGAAAATAAAATGTGCAGCCCATCGGTTTGATTAGTCTTGATGATGTAGGCTGGGTTCTTAACTACATATCGACTAAAGCAGAGTGTTAAAAATGAGAAACACTATCGCACTGCTCGTATGTAAAAATCTAATCTCTGAAAACCAACTTAACAGCTTCCAGCCTCCTAACACCTTCTCCTTAAGTCATCATTGATACAATCTTTACCACAAGGTTGCTGTTTCCATGATGAGGGCGTAAATATAACAATAACTCTCTTTAATCAGGTTCTACCAGGCTTTCTACTAAATGCAGACCAAAACCTCTGCTGCAGTGTCATCAGGCTCAGTTGCAGCAGACCTTATTAAACAATATGATCAGTTTCCAACTAATGAAATCATTATTATGCAATTCCAAAAAAATATTTAGCAATCAATTATTAATGATTTCATGCATTCAAAGTAGACCAGTAAAGTTAAAAGTCACAGTATTTTTTTTTTTTTATTTAATCCAAAATGTATCTTTTAAATTTAAATTTAAAATGATAGAAGTGACCAGTTATGTTATAAAACTTATTTTTCTGGAGACTGATGATGCTAAATGGAACCATAGCACCAGAAAGCCCCTTTATTGAATAATCTCTGGTGTTCATAGACTTGGATTTAAGGGCAAAGACATTCCCAGAAATATTTCAAAGAATATTTTATCTAAAATCTAAAATCGTGTTGAAGACTTGTCCCTCACTCAGTAATGTTTTTACATTGTTCCACACTGCCTATTTACAGAGGTGGCTAGTAACTAGTTACATTTACTGAGTTGCTTGAGTAACCTTTAAAAAATAAAAAAAGACTCACTGAAGTAAAAGCTTCTGGCTACTCCACTGTGAGTAACTTTACTAAATAAAAACATGCTTGTTTTAAACAAATATGCACCATTGAGAGACACACTTTTTTGTAATCAAGGCAAATTGGTTAAATGTTATTTTCCATCTTCTGTGTCATTTGGAGGTTAGGTAAAAACACAATAAACAGTTTACGCTAACTTAACCTATTCTAGATACTACTGAAGAGGATTAGGCCCACTGAAAAAAAAAAGTTAACAGATTTTTCAATTTTATTTCAGTGTAATATTGGAAAAAAAGTCAGAATTCAGACTTTTTTTCTCAGAATTCTGACTTTTTTTTTCCGAATTCTGACTTTAATCTCAGAATTCTGACTTTAATCTCAGAATTCTGACTTTTTTCTCCAAGTTCTGACTTTAATCTCAGAATTCTTACTTTGTTTCTCAGAATTCTGATTTTTTCTCAGAATTCTAACAGCTAACAAACATGTTAGCATCAAGCCATAGCCATGTCTGATTTAGAGACTAGCTCTCTTGTTTTAATGACCTTTTGCTCCTCCATTAATGAGGGGACCCCTCGGCCACGTAAAAAGTTGCCTAATTCCATCATTTTCCACTAATGTGTCACTGGCCCTCTCAAACAACTCACATCTTTGTCAGTGAAGCTGAGTGCTCCCACATCCCTTCCTTCATGGTGCCCATCTACATTAAGATCCAAAATTCTGAGATTAAAGTCAAAATTGTGAGAAAAAAGTCAAAATTCTGAGATTAAAGTCAGAATTCTGAGAAAAAAGTCAGAATTCTGATATTAAAGTCAGAATTCTGAGATTAAAGTCAGAATTCTTTAAATTTTATTTCAGTTTAACATGGGAAAAAAGTCAGAATTCTGACTTTTTTCCCATGTTAAACTGAAATAAAATTTAAAAATCAATTAACTTTTTTTTTTTCCAGTGGCCCTAATCCTCTTCCGTAACATACTGTAACTATTGAGTCTGTATTTTTTATAACTCAAAAAAAGTATTTGGAATGGACCGACTTTTTGTATCGTATGCTTACTGCATTTTATATATTTATTTTATCTTCATCTTAAATTCACTTAATGTTTTGTTGAATTTTACAACATTTTGTAAAACATGAAATCATGAATAGTACGTAAGTTACTCAGTACTTTAGTCGCCTTTTTATCAAATACATTCTCTGTGCAGATTTGTACTGATGCAAAGATCCAAATAGTTCACAACAAAAGCTGAGTTCTGTTGGTATTTGAAAGTCAAATCCAACATACCCAACTTCCACATTCAGGAATTTTTCCACATCAATAGAATAACTTATTTACTCATTTACCTGTTTAAACAGTTTTTTTTTTTTTTGTTGATCTGACATTTACTCAATAGCTGACATGTTACTTTTCACTTGTTAAAATATGTTTCTACAATTTTTAATGAAAGAGACACGACATAGACTAGTTTTTCTCTCTGTAATTAAAATAGTGGCCATGCGGTAGATGAGCAAAGGAGCGTGAACGCGTCCATAAGTGGAAACGAGAACACTATAACCTTAGAGATTACATTACTCTGATTTTCCATTTATAGGGTTAATGGAAGATATGCTATATAGAAAAAGAAGAAAAGGACTGACTAAAAAACAGCTAACTGTACACTTTAAGCGGCCATGTGTTATTCCTAAACCCCCTTGGTTCACACAGAAAGGTGCATAATAAAAATGTCCTCCAAAAGAAGGATCATTTGAATAGAAATTGTTAAGATAGATGAAATTTAAAGAGACATTTCCACTCGGAATTTCAAACCCAGGTCACAATAGATCTAATATCTACCACACTAATAGCTTTTGTTGTGTTTCAAGGCAGCATTTATAAATAGTTGCTTTAAACAGCGCATCAATTCAAGGATATGGCGGCATTTCATACAAGCGCCTAGTTTAATGTAATGCGCAAGGAAAAAAAACATATTTAAAATGTTTTTTTACTAAATGTTTGGTTGGAACAATTTCTTTATTATATTTTTATTTAACTTTTAAACAAGATATTCGATCATTTCTGATGATGAAATGGCCAGGAAGCCGGTGTACATCCCACAACTACATTAAAAATGTAAACATGGCACCATTTGAGTCATTGATAGTAAGATGTCTAATTGAGCACAGTGAGCGGAGCATGAAGAGGCACTGAGTGCAAGTCTGTCAGTTAATGCGTCAGTCTGGGTGGTAAATGAACAGAGCAATTTGTTCCCTTCGCTTGGCTTCTGGATGTTAATAAGAGTGGGCTGACTGACAGGCAGAGACGGAGTGAGTCAGCAAGACTCCAAACAAGCAGAGGCTATTGTGATTTAGGAAGCTTTTAAAAATACAAAGGAACCAAGAGCAGTGATGGGAGCTGTTTGAAGAAAATGATGTGAAGATAAACATCTGGACTTTTCTGGGATCTTAAGAATAAACTTCAGAAATGAAATAAAATTCAAGTGTGAAAAAACAACTATTACATCATTTCTCTTCAGTGTTGTGGAGCTTTTCTTTCACTTTAACAAGTCCTCTCACTTGTAAAGGAGCAAGTTACTCATAAATACCCACATAGCCTGGCTTATTTCATTCTTATCCAGTAAAATCCTTTCATCAGCTTCCAAAGCTGGCTAATCAAAGTATAAGGAACCATGAAAAGCGGCTAATGCCAAAGACTACGGGGAGTTCATGTGTGCATACACCAGGTGTTAATCCGATATCATGTGCTTTCCCCCTCCGATGTCAAGTTATATGGGAAAAAATATCCATCTCACCTCAGGCCGAACGTATGAGACTGCTCGTAGTGGAACAGGGAATGGATCTTCACATCTGAATTCACAGCAACGAGCCTGTCAATCAAATCCTGTGGAGCAAAATGAGAGGGGGTGATGGGGAATGCAGCAGTTTGAGTGCAAAGTGAAAACAGAGAGGAAATGCACAATGGACTAAGATGGAAAACGCACATCCGCCTCAGTGGTACGAGGGTTTAATGGAAGGCCTTTGTGCTTTCAACTCACACCCACAAATGTGTGGGAGAACGTTGAGAGCTGAGTCAAAGTGCAAACATGCCCTCTTATGGTGAGAAAAGGACGTGCATAGAGTCTGGAGAACACTTTCTGGGAACTGCTCACAGGTATGGAAGTTGGCGTCTCTCGCAGGGTGTATTCACTCTTGTTAGCTAAAAGCTGTCGGCCCAGAAGCTCCCACACGGCGAGGGAGGAGGACAGGAGGTTGACCAAGGACAAGAAAGACTGATGAGACACAAACAAGCATGTGGTAAAAATCAAGAGAAAATCACACCCCTGAATAAAAAAATAAAAATAAAATACTTCAAGACAGTTTCTAACAGAGAATCATCAGATTATAGTTTTAAAAATGTATTAACATCTTCAATATACAGTTTCTACTTAACCTTATTTGCTGCTTAAATAAGTCAATTGTCCCAAAAATATCTAAACAGCTTTTTGAGTGGATAAAGCAGGCTAATGTTTAAGATCTATGATGGCCTTTCCAAAGCTTGTTTCTCTTCTTAAAAATCAAGATCCGTTCCAAACCAGCCAATACACCTGAGTCAAGCTTTTTCTATTCCAAAACATAGCAACTCTGCCTAGAGAGTGCTTTCATATTATGAAGCCTAACAGCTACTAAAAGACACACAGCCGAACTCACTGAGGATAATTTCACCACATATTAGTGGGGGTGTTAGCAGATATCTGTGACTGTATAAATATTCTGTGAATCTATGAGATTTAGAGAAAATCAGCGCTTCATTCAAACGTGTAAAGAAGTCTTATCAAAGCGATAGTAACAGCATGCGGTTTGATCTGTCATGTTTGGATTTAAATCACACAATATCATGTCAAAAATGCTCACATGTAAACTTTTTAAAGGAACTGCACAATCTTATTCAACAAAAGGAAAGATTGTTAAAAAGAAAGAAAAATATCCCAAATTTCAAAATGCTTCTGCTTCTTTTCAGCAGCTGAATAGAATAAGAGTTAAACCACTGCACTCATTTCTACACTGTTACATTAACGGAAAAATATAGAAGACAGGTTGTGAAACCAAACCTGCTTTTTTTTGGTCCATTCTATGGTGTTGATAGAGGAAGGGACTTCTGTTTGAGGACTCCCTGTATGTAACCTGGGAGCTGACACACTGATAAAGCAGACTTGAACATTCCCAGTAGCAGGGTTGAGGACACAGTTCACAGTTCACTGACAGTCTGTATTCACTCGGATAGCTTCAGCGAGCGAGATCACTCGGCTCCTGTCAGGCAGCAGCGGTGGCCTCACGCTAGCAGACCCTGAAGCTTCAAATTAAATTTTCAGGCTCTCGTATGAGAATAGAGAGACAAAATTGGTCCAAAGTAAAAAACTAAAACTTCTATCATAAAACCAGACTTTAAAATGATTTCACATTCCCAGTATCAGATTCTAAGATTTCTTCAAGAGCTTTTATCAAATTCAGAACATTTGAATTAAAAATATTTACCTCAGAAATTATTGTACTAAAATTTTGATTAGTTCAATATCAATTTTTCTTTTTTTTAATTTTCATGTTTAACCAAAGCCCTACAGTTTATGATCATTAAGGATTTCCTTAGGTAATGCCTCAGTTTCAATGCATGAACATTTTATATGTGCATTCTTAGCTTTAAACCTCACAGATAAGTGAGGTTTTAAACTAATGTTGCACCGATACCGGTATTGGGCGGGGCCCGGATGCAGCACTAAAATTGTGGTATCTGTGAGTACTAACAAATAGGGCACCGATACCATTTTGAGAGCCAAAAGTTTATAAAAATATTGTCACCCATTCCTGGTAGGCAATAAAAAGTTCTACTGGATTCTCTTTGTATTAGTCTTTTTCCTGCTTCACAAAGGTAGGCAGCAGCTTGATAAAGCCATGATGGCAATTATTTTACATCCAATTAGTCTGCAGTTCTTCATATATACACATGCACATCGATTTCAAACAGATTGTATCGGGTATCAGTATCAGGGCCAAAAAATGGCATCGGCGCAACACTATTTTAAACGTAAATCATTGTTGGTTTTTCAGCTTTAGCAAAAAGGAACAATAATACATTGGAAACTAATATTTTTCCACTTCAGTTTTTACTCCCTTTATACTTATCCAGGCCTAGAAAATAAAAGAATAAAATATTGCCCTTTTTTCAATACTTCAGAAGAGCACCTCAGCACCCTGCTGGGGGAAAAAAACACAGTCCAACTTCTTCAGCTTATATAATAAGAATTTAATTTGCATTAAAAGAGAATAAATAGACTATTCTGGAACCTGTTGTTTTACAAGCAGATATTTTTCTTAAAAACAGCCCTGAAAATCCTCTTATCAGACTGTTGTAAAATTACAGAGCATCTTCATCCAGAGGCTTCTTCAGGCCAGATGTAATTTTTAGAACTAAGTGACTCAGGAACCAACAATAAGGAACTCTATGGCCGCTCTAACAAACATGGTCCGATATACTGACTAAATTAATATGAATAAAAGCAACAATAAGCTCCAGGGAGCAGAATTTGAAAATCTCTATCAGCATAGATGGAGAATTATGGATATTGCTTCAAAATGTGGAGGATACGGACCCTCCACATAATTTACTGGGTGGCTGTTGGGAACCATTTGAATATTTCACCTTTTGCCTCTGCAGTTTCTAAAAAAAAAAAAAAAAAGATAAAATCAGTTGTGCAGGTAATTATTTTGCCACTGGATGTCACCCTGTCTTTTATATTGGACGTTAGGTTAATCCAAATGAAGAGTTCTGAAATTAAAACGGGATTCTGAAAGGATTTACATTTTCCAACTCTGGCATGGTCACATCTTCTCAGTTTAAACTAATTAAAAGATAAATGTTTGAATAAATCTATTAAACTATTGATGTTTTATTGAGTTTTTTTTTTTTTTTTTGTGTATAAATGGTTTTAGTACGGTGGCCCTGAAGTGCAAACTGCAACTACAAATCTAAAAGCGCAACTACATTAAGAAAAACAAAACTACATAAAGCAAAGCGCATCTATATTAACCTACCGGAAAAGGTAGGTACCAGTGGGAAACATAAGACATCGCTGATTGGACGACGGGGCCATTTGACCCTTGAACCGGGAGTCATTCTGCCTGCTGCGGCTTTTGAAAACATGGATATTGTCGGCGCCCCAAACATAGCTGCCGTTATCCAGGAATATTTTGAATCAGGACATACGTACGAGGTGATACTGGATATGCTCAAGACTAATCACGAAATTTCAGTTAGTTTGCGTACACTGAAGACACACTTAAAAGAAGCTGGACTGTTCAGACGACGCAACTTTCGGTTCAAGGGTCAAACGGTGCCGTCGTCCAATCAGCGATGTCTCATGTTTCCCACTGGTACCTACCTTTTCCGGTAGGTTAATGTAATTGTGTTTTCCTTAATGTAGATGCGCTTTGCTTTATGTAGTTTTGTTTTTCTTAATGTAGTTGCGCTTTGCTTTATGTAGTTGCGATTTCCTTAACGTAGTTGCGCTTTAAGATTTGTAGTTGCAGTTTGCACTTCAGGGCCACCGTATTTTAGGTAGACATGCAACCATAAGTAAATGTGTATTGATATCTGATATTAATATTGCTGTTATGGCCCATAATCAATATTTAAAGATCTCATATTATTTCTCCACCCTTTCGACAATATAAAAATATGAAAACACCACCAACATTGCTCCTATGGTTCTGTTGACATTACTATCACTGTCAAAGGCCTCAACAACCACATGGTTCTCCCCATAAAACCATATAAACAACATCATGATGGTAATAAACCCTGGTTATCAATATCAGCACAGATTTCCTTAAGGGATTATACAAATATGTCAAACATCAACAGTCACTTGCCGATGTATCATTCATAAATAGTTTTAAGTAAGTTTTATATATTCAGTAATATACTCTACTAATATGTGATCCCTTTAGTTTTGCTTATTTTCCAATTTCAGTTGAATAAAGTTTATAACACATTACCTTCAGGCAGCTTCTGTCTATGGGGTCCATAGGTGTTGGTCTGGGATGCGCAACTCTGGTATCGTCAGCCCCACTTTCGAGAGCCAACCACAGCTCTACAACCAGCGATGTGACAAAACCTAAAGGTGAAGTTCTGGTTTTAGAATATCTTCCTTCAGTTCCTCTCAGAAGCTACCATCAAATCATGACAAATTCTACAGATTTAAAGTATTAATATGAAATCAAAAATATACATCCACTCAGCTAACATTTGATAAATGTTCAATAGCAGGTTGTCAATCAACTGAATCATCTTCTTAGCCTAAAACTGACTTTGGGAATAAAATCTGAACATGATATTTGACCGCTCTCCTTAGCAGAGCTGGAGAGCTCATTGAAAGTGTGTTCCAAAGCTAAAATAAGGGCTAAATAAGAAGCTTAATAAGTGCAATATTTTCTATTCTAAATCCATTTTGATGTGCTCTTAAAGGATTAGTGGCATTGAAGCCCTTATTTAATAGGTGTAGAGGAGGATAGAGTAGGGGGAGGTTCAAGTTTTGAACACAGAAAAGCTGCCTCAAGTGCTAAATTGGCAGCATATGGTGCACCTGCTCAACTACCAGAACCTCAAGGTGTCCTCATCTCCCAATTCTGTCCAAATATCCAATATAAGCTGTGGTAAACCATTTTTTACTCACTTTGTGCTATCCGTGAGTCCCAGTGGAAGTGAATCAAGCCTCCAGAGTTATACTCCCACTCTCAGGCCTGAAGCTTCACTTAGACTTTGCTAAACGTGTTTCGTTTTTATTGTGGTCAAACATTTCAATCTCCGTTTCATCCGACTATAAATATATTTTCAAGAAGGACTTTGGCTTGTCCCTGTGAGCAGCTGCAATTTGAGTGCGATAGATACAATCTTCGGAGCAGGGGTTACTTTTAAGTTTTTAATCCTAAGCAGTTGCCAATCATTGGCTTCCCCATTATTGTAAGCAATGCTCTATCCAGAAAATGCTTCTGTTGTGTTAAGGCAGGAAAAATAAACACTAAAAAACAATAAACTGCCTTTCTCCTGTCAAGTTGAAACATCCTTGAACTTTTAAAACACTTATCAAAAGATTTAGATGAGTCTACAGAGGTTTGAGCCTGAGTAGATTAGAGGTAATCTTAGAAACAGTCAATTCTTGCTTTGAAAATAATGTCAAATAAAAAAGGGTTTAAATACCTTCTCAAAATAAAACAATCTACAAATGTTCTCCTCCCTTTATACCTTCTAATGATGCTCTTTTAATTAGCTGTAGTGGTACCTGATTTGTTGAACACATCATTCCCTGTCATACAGCTGCTAAATGCATCTAAATTGGACAGTGAACAACCCCTGAGACAACAATTTAAAGCAATTCTTCACACTGCCTGCACAGCAATTTACAATTCAGGCCTTAAGCGTCCCAGCAGGTGAGTGTTTGTTTATACAAATGAGCACTTTGTTACCTGAACTGTGCAGAGCTGCAACCCCTGGGGCAGTCGCAGCTACCTGTGTCACCATTACTCCGTACCCAAACTTCTCACAGCGACTCACCTACGATGAAAACGTGCAAACAGACTCATAACTAACAAGACAATTAATAAATGAAGGTGTATATTAAGCAAGCTTTTAAAATATTAAAGGAAAAGGAAAATTTGTGCTCAAGTAATATAAAAAAAAGGATTTTATCAATCATGATATGTCTTTAAAAAAAGCTAAAATAAAATCAAGCTCTTTAATTAAAGTACAATGCTTGATAGAAACAGGCTATAATTATAAAATGTGGGGAGCTCAAGGTCCAAAGGGAGTCACGCCAGACTTGCATGTTGAGCTGGGAATATGTGTCTACAATGTAAAATCTGATTCCACATCCAAGCAGAAGCTGAATCCTAAACAGATAAACAAACGTTAAAAATAACACAGCATCCTTTAGGACCAAAATCACAAATGTATGGTTCAGGTAAACTAAAGACATTCGTTAAATTAATTAAAGAACATGTTTAAAGACTTTGTCATTTGCTGCATTATTAAAAGAAGCAAGAAAACAAAATTGTGTTTCTAGCGTTTAATTTATGTAGGAGAAAATCTAAAGACATTTGTTTTTGACCGGTCTAAGAATAACATGATGTTTTAACTTGTTCACATTATGATCAAGGCAAAGTTTGAATTAGGTGTGTGTTAGAAGGTGAGTTACAGAATTGTCAACAGTTTTTCCTTAAACACGTCTGAAAAGTGTGGCATGCTTTTTATTGTTTTTAGCTCCCAGTTTGAAAAATTTTCAAAACCACAGATGTTTATTGGGTAGAAAATTCTACAAGCTTTCCAAATCTCAAAACCAAAGACTTTTCCGATTATTCACACATTAGCACAGGCTCATTTAGTTCGTTTAGATTGTTTAAAGATCATCTGTGAACATATTTCTTTTAAACTGATGCTGTGGATTCTGGTCCGAAGTTAAAGAGGGCATTTCTAACACAGATTTTATTTTGGGGCTGTAGCTGCATGTTTACCATCACCATCAGGGTAAAAAATCTGTCCCAGTCTCACTCCTTTCTTAGCCTCTAATAGGTTTTCTTCTAGGATTTCCCTGTTTAACTGAACCCATATTTCCATCAATTCGGACCAGCTTCCATAACCCCACAGCACAACGCTGACACCTTCTTGTTTTCCCCTCCAGAAAATGGTGTTAGTCATTTACCCTACAAAAGTATCTTGAACGCAGAACATTTTGACCTCAACTGACCAGAATATTTTTTATATGTGACCACTATGTCTCCAAAATGGTTTGTTGAACTACTCAACAGTCCTTTTAGGGCAAAAACAAACAGCATAGCAGCCCCTTTGATTGGTTTTTACCTAGCTATATTTATGCAGAAACTAAACAACACAGACTGTGTTTGCATATTCAGAGGCATCTAAATGACTCAATTAAATTATTGTAAGGAATAAAAAGAATAGCAATATATAAAAGCAACAATAAAAACGTTCATTATTACACGGCACAAACATCTGCAACTTTGTGTCGGTTTATCTGATAAAATCCCATTGTAATATACTAAAAGTTAAAGCAGGATAAAAGATGAAAGTTCAACATGTGTGACTATTGCACCCTTAATCCTAGTTTAGAACTGTTACTCTTACTACTGTGAAACAATCATTTGAACATAAACATAATAAACACCTGCATTATGTAAGAGACTCAACAAGCCTGCAAAAGTTAATTATTTCAGGAATTGTGTAAAAAGTGCAACAGTATCGTTGTAAGATATAATCCAAGTACCGGTATATTGATACCAATTCTTATCACCAAAACAGGGAGGTTGATTCCTATGAAGGCGAAAGACTATAAAATTGGCTTACATATTAAGGCAGATACTGGATAAAACTTTTATTCCAGCTCACTCATGCCAGTGATTTTAATGGTGCGTTCCATTGATACACGGTAGTTGAAACTTCCTGGTTTAATTTTTAAAAATCAATCACCCAGAGAGGTTGGGATACAAAGTACGAGATTTACATGGATTTTAAACCAGCAGCATAGACCAAAAATAAATGCAGTAACAAAACGTTCATTTGTACTTTTTGTCCCATTTAAACATGGGTTCAAATAATACTGTACTGTATTTTTGAACACAGTGTTTACGCTACCTGTAATTGAACATGGCACACCGCCACAGCAAAATAAAAGCTGCCACACCTTCAGACCAAATAAAAAAATTAGAACATAAATATAATAAAACAGAGTTGAGGATATAACATACTGGAAATTTCTTCACTTACTGGAGCTGAAACAATTGAGTATCAAAATAAATGTAACTAATTTAATATCGATTAAACGTTAACTGGAGTATAGAGACTCTGAAACATAGTTTTAGTGAACAGAGTGACCCAATAAGAGCAATAATTATACTAAAGTTGTAAATTAATACAAATATTTTGCATTTAAGATATAAAAAAAAAACATTTTGTCTGTCAATATTTTCTAATCGGAACTCAAGTGGAAAAAGTTTGAATTTAGTTAAAATTCAGTTAAAACTCTTCTTTAAGAAACCGTTTGCGATTATTGATTGATTAATCGAAAAAAAAAAGTCAACAAATAATGGATTAGCAAAATAATTATTAGGTGTAGCCCTAGCCTTATCTAATCATAATCTAATCAAATGTGCTTTATTTTGACAAACCAAGACTGTTCTGTTGTGCTGTAAATCTAGCAATTGTAAGAAGCTAACTGGTGACTACAGAGTGCTGGGATGGTCTCAATTGTAAAGAAAAACTTGATGACTTCTTTTTTCCAAAAAAGCAAGTAGAGACAAAAAAGTGACTTTTCTCTGTGTTTGTGGCGAGTTAAGCAACTTCACATGAAAGCAGAAACGGTTATATTGTTACTGTTTCACAATAGCAGTTCTCTCCTGACTTCATCAAATGTTGTCTGACAAATAATTCACCAAGCACATTTCCTACACAATATAGAGACAAAGCTAATAAAAAAAAAAAAAAAACATGCTTTTGTTTCCCGTAGGAAAGTTTAAAGCTTTCCTTAGTTGATGGCATCAACTTGCAGTCCATGACTTTCAGACTAATAATACAATTATTTTTTTTACCTGATTCTGATTTCCTTGTTATCTCTACCTAGAAGTAAAAAAATCAGGTTCCAGAATTCACAAAAAATATGAATTTTTATTTAGAACCTTTTTATATCTAAAAACAAGTGCTTTTTTAACCTGTGCCATGATCTCATGATGAAAAAACAAGAAGACTGATCAAATTGGTTAATTTAGTTTGTTCTGCAGAAACAAAGGTCAAATAGACCAGACAGGTTTGTTTAGAACATTGCAGTTTAATCAGCAGTCAAAGTTTCTTCATTCTCGATAACTAGTCCTGTATTACCTGTAGTTTTTTGCTAAAGCGGGAGAACATGTAGGACACGCATTCCTGGATGGCTCCTGTCTGCTGTAGCAGCAAAAGGCCTTTAGGGGTTGCAGCAAAGTTCAGAAGACTGCCCAACAAAGTATCTTCCCAGACGAGCCTGTTCCAGATCCACAAAAGAAACCAAAGAAAGTGACAACAGTTCGCACTTTTAAACAACAAATACAAGGATTTACTCTCACATTAAAAGAAACTTTTGAAGAAAGGAACGTTACAAATTTAAGCTGTTTAATCCCTTGACATCTGAACTTATATATAAATATATAACAAAGGTGTGTAAGCTATTTGGCCTTAAATGGTTTCCAAACTGAGATTGAATACTTTACAAAAAATAAATTAAAATTTAGCTTTGTTGCACATTTGTAACAACAGTTATAAGGGTCAAAAATAACAGACCACTAAGAGATCAGTCCTAACAGAAATAAGTACTTGACAAAGGTTCCTAGGGCTGCGCTGAATGCATATTTGGAATTTGGGGAATGTTCAAGCTATCTGGTTAGCATTATACAGTTTGTTTCATATTTACAACAATAGGCATCAAGAGATTAAGCTGTTTCATTATTCAGTACCGCAGGCTCATTAGAAAAAGAAGAGCAAATATGGAGCATGTCAGAAAAGGAGAATTGTTCAATATCAGAAAGTAGACTAATTGAACAAATACTTAAAAATACCATTTTATAATAGAATTAATCTTATAAAGTGTTCATGAATAATACTGGCTTCATCAATTAAGATTTTAGTGGTTCAAAGACTATTCATAAAAATTATTATGGTGCTTCTATTACAATTATGTAGAATCTCTTTTCTGCAATGCAAGGGTCAAAAATGCAATAGCTCCCTATTAGTGACTTATAGTGAGTTTACAGCCTAATAATTGATTTATTCAATATTTTTTAGGTTATTTTCATAATAAATGGACACAGTATCAACAAAACATAATGTCCTTTATATAAATATTGCTGAACGGATCTCGGTGAAACTATGTAAAATAACACGAAATAAATAAAGATCTAATAAGTTCAACGTCCTACACTGAGCTATGAGGGTAGTATCAGTGGTGAATTGATAAGTTGGTTTTTATTATCTCTAGTCAATAATTAATATTACTACTTTGAACCACAACTCATGCAAGCATAAAAACTGTTTGGTTATGTGTTGTGATTCAAACGTCTGTTATTGGCAGGAGTTATTCCTGGGCTGACTCCAATATCTGCTTTTATTGGTTAACTAATAATAAGAGAATCTCCATATTGACACGCATATAAGTTCATATTTAATAGGTGGAAAAGTTAATTGTTAAAGGCTGTAAAATTTATTTATAACTACAATTATCTGCAGTAACAGGTCAAGCAAACATTGAACAGTCAGTACACTGTGTGATCTCACATGTTTGCCATTTCTTGGGTGGATGATCCAGTACAAACTCCAGAAACGGGGGTCGAAATCCTTTCTGATAAAGAACTTGTCTGTGAATCAAAAATACATAAAACATTAAAAAAGAAATCTCATGTACTAAAATCAAACATGGTGAGATTTCCTTCCTTCCTATGTTTTGTTTTATTCTAAAATTAACTGCAAGACATTATTCAATTAAATTAAGTTTATTCATGTACAGTAGCAACAATTCACAACATACGTCATCTCAAGGCACTTGACAGAGACAAATCTACCAGATCATACAGTCAGATTGATTCAAAGTTTTCTATCTAAGGAAAACCAGCAGACTGCTTCGACTCATTTACTCAACAGCAATCCCTCACACCAAGCATGCTTGTAGCAACAGTGGAGAGGAAAACTCCCTTTTAACAAGAAGCTATTATGAAGATATTGTTACAGTTTTGTAACAATCTAGGCCCCGTTCACACGAAGTCAAAACGAACACGAAATGCTAATATTTTCCAGAACGTTTGTCTTAAAGACGGAGACGTAAAATAAATGTGATCGACCACAAGAATGCATGAAAACGCTGCAAAATGTATGCCAGGCCTGTAAGTGGCGCTGTGGTGCCAAAGCAAAAATAGGCGAAAACAGGCAACGAAATGTTGGGCATGCGCAGTAATATTTATACAACAACCAAACCGGAAAACCGGAAAATGGCCCTGCGGGTCCATTTTCGTGGTTCAGTCAAATTGAGGTGATGAACTATGTCGTCTATATTGCTCTGTTCTTCCTGGAGATATTCCAGAAGAAGAAGATTCTGTTGTAAGCCCGACAGCAGGGTGAGTAGCATGAGCAGCAACCATTCAACACAGTACGGCGCCATTGTTGTTGTGATACTGTGTCGCGCATGCGTGTTTAGAGGCGACGCTATGACGCATGCGTGTAAGAAAAAAAAATGCGGTTAGAGCTTAAAGATGTAAACGCGAAAACGGCGTTTCAAAATCTTCCCACTCTGAAGGCCTGATAAAAAAAAGATCGTTTACAGACCCCCGAAACGCCGGCTTCGTATGGATGAGAGGCTGGTTTGGTGAAAAATTTGTGCGTTTAGGCCAGGGTTTGACTTTGTGTGGACGGGGCCCTAGATTGTTGCATAATTAATGTTTCACTTTGACCCCTGGGCTTTGACAAAAAAGTCAAGCCCAGGGGTCCTTCAACTGTTAGATGCAACTCAGCTCCAACCCACCTAAATAATAAATAAATCATTAGCAGGATACAGCAAAACTTGTGGGGATTCATGCGGCACTGCTTGAGCCAGGGCATAGGCCCCAAGGACAGGAACTTCTCTGAACCTTTGCATTTTCAGCTATTTTTCCGGTATGTTCTGCCTACATGTATTGGTCAATGAATTGAAGTCCATTTCCATGGTGATCATTTGCTGTCCTTAATGGACAGTGTTCTGTAGATTTTAGATGCCCAGCTGATTGAAAAATGGCTGAAAGCCTTCCTAGTCTGCTTTAAAAAAGGAAAACATTTAAAACATGCAGGACACTGGACTGACTATGCACAACCACTGGTTTAATCTCAAACAAAGGCTGCATTTATCTATCTGAATAAAAGCAATGAAAGCCACTGCATTTTCTGTCTCAAAAGAAGATTTTTATGTACTAAATATTGTTACTATTCCACTTTCCATTACAAATGTCATAATCGAAACGAGTAGACTTCTTTTAAAGAAACACTTTCAACCAAAACAAAGCTGCTGATGTTGTACTACTCAGACTAGTGTTCACCAAGGCTGTGATTTCTCCTCATTGGATTAAAAAAGAAAGGAGTTGGAAAATTAACGAATGCATGTTGCAGCTGTACCTTCTGCCATGCTGCAGCGATGGCCTTGTGCAGAGAGTAAGTTTGCAGGACCTGCAGACCCTCACAGGTGTTGTACATCTGCCTACAGACGAAGAGGAAAGCTCCACATAACGAATGAGACTCATCTGATTCACTCAGAGATGGCAGGGCTTGACTCAGCAGCCTCAGCGTGAACTGTACGATGATGTGAGCGGCGACTGTTCTGCAGAGGACACAAAATGGGGAGCGATGCTGAACAGAGATAAGATCATATTTCATACGTAATCTGGGTCGCGTAGATCAGGCGTTCCCAAATGTTTCCATGCAGCAACCCCCAAATTATGCTACAAAATATTAAAAAATTTAAACAAATTTTCTCACTTTTATTCCCATTGCATTAATATTACAGTTGTTAAACGTGAAAATATCAGATACACTTTTTTCTTAATATATTCCCACCGAATAACAAAACTTTCAACGAAATGTTGATACGAACAAAAAAAAAGTTTGTGCATAGGGGGCGGGGTTTAATATCTTTTATTGTTATGCATAGCATTGCTAACTTGTAGACATGCTTCTGAGTTCTCCGTAGTGCCCCCTGGTGGCCCCCAGAGGGCAGTGGTTCCACTTTGAAAACCACTAATGTACAGAAGCTACTATTTGAATCGCGAAAAAGTTATTATTTATTTCAGTCCACAGTTAGATTACAAAATAATGTTATCTAACTTTTATTTCTGTCAGTTATAATTTTCTGCTTAAAGCTGATAAAAACGTTTAATGGTAGAATATTTCTTTAGACCAATAATAGATTTTAATACAGAAATGCAGACTTAATGTGTGTGTTTATATCTGTTATTTTAAAAAGGTGTGAATCTGAAAAACAATCATAATTCTGATGCACTGAGCATTACTCTATACATAACATACATAATATCTTTCCATATTGTGTTTCACACCTTTTTAATTTGGAGCACTGTGACTTAAATCCTTATTATGTGGATTTCTAAAGCCTTATTTTAAACAACTATTAAGGTTAAATCTATGAGTTTTTATTAAGATACTTTTTGTTTAATTACATCAAACACTAGATCTGTTTGTTTGATCAGCGTCTTACTTTTCACCGTGGGCACCAAGAAGGTTCTTCTCATATAGGAAAATCTCTAACCCTTTGTCTGTATTTGCGATGCGGGCCAGAATATCAGCAATGAGGATCTGTGTTGCTGCGGGATACTTCAAGTTAGTCTGTAAATAGACAGAGAAAAAAAAAAAACCCAAATGAAAATAAATAATATCAAAGAAGAACTTAAGTGATCAAATGTTTGCCTATGATAATTACAATGGTGCAAAGGGACGTTTTCTCTTGTTTAAACATGAGGATAAATACAGTCTAAAAAATAGTCACCTCTTACTGTTGCCAAAACAGTATTTAGACTCGAATATATATCCTTAATCTTGCAAATTATTTATTTAAAGCAGACACTTAAATAACAAACCTACTTGTGTCGATTTAACCTAACCCAGAGCACCATTAGTGACTGCAGATAAAATTAAGTTAGATAATCTGCAGAAGTTCTTACAGTTTCTTCGTTTGGAACATACAATTTCTGACTATAATGGAGAAATGTTCATACAGATGAAAGCATGTTGGAAGTGGGTTCATCACTTGGGGTTGCTTTGTAGCCCAGATCGTCACAGTCATCATATTGTGTATTTTAAAAGCTTTCAAACATAAATTTAATTGAAACCTATTTACTTAACATAGACATAACACCATAAAGTCTATTAAGGGACCACAACAAGGATAAAGAATAAAATAATCCAGGTCAAACCCTTAAAAAGAAAATAATCAAAGTCAAAATTTCAAATCTCATAGCAATTTATAGTCTCAGACGGTGGATAAATCAGTAAAAGCAGATCTGTAAATGTATGAGGTCTAATTATTCTTTATAACAGGAGTGCCTAAGTTCAGTCACCAAGGTCTTTTATCCTGCACCTTGACAACGCGTCCCTTCTCCAACACGACTAAATCAAATAAAAGGCTTGTTACCATACCTCTGCAGAGCTGAATGACATGTTGATGAGGGAAATTAGATTGGAGTATTTTGGAACAGAGATGCATATAAAAGTTGCAGGATAAAAGTTCTCTAGGACTATTCTAGGGAATCCCTGGTTTATGATTTCTACTGTCGGGTTCATAAAATGTAGGTTTTTGCAAAAGATGAACTGAAATACACACTTATGGATACAATTCCTGCAGGAAGGAGAGACAGTTGAACCCCAGACTCAAACGCACTGTCTCCCACTGGACCTCCTCTGCAGAGCATTTTATTAACAGAACATGACGCATGGTTACAAACAAAGTTTTATTCTGACAGAACAATTGATCAGTTCATGAAGACAGAATGCTCCATCAGAATGACAAGGCAGGATGGTCTCCTGACTGCATCATGACACAGGAGTGGAGCATCCCCTTGCACAAATGTTTCATAAGCACACATTAATTTTATAATCATCATTGAATAATCCTAACATCTACCAGCCAATAAATGGTGGAACGTGTGTATTTGCGTGTGTGAAACACAAACCCGTTGTTCAGTAAGTAGCGCAACAACAGGTGAAACCAGGGTTTCAATGACAGGAGTCTGGTAAAGACAATCAGCAGCACATTCTGTTCGTTCACATAACATCCCGAGCACCTCCATCACCAGACTGCTGGGCGACAAGGAGTCTGAGGACATAAAAAAGACAAATTTACTCTCTAGATTTAACTACTTCCATATATAAGCTGGGTAACTATGAATCATTGTTTTAATCATCTGGAGTTTGCTGATGATCACACACAGATAAGAAAGCTATGAATATTTATTCTCTACTATATAACACAAATTGTAGTTATGAAGAGTGTCTATAATCTGAACCTGTGCACAAAACAATGAGGTTGAAAGTAGTTGCTTTGCTGAAAGGAGTTACTTCAAATAGTTAGGGCCTCTGATCAGCTTTTCTTCTGGGCAGCTACTGGGCCTTTCCTAGTAGATACAAACTATGAGACTCAGAATCTGTAGAAAGGACTATTTTCTAAACCTGGCTACAATCCCTCAGAAAGACTCAATGAGTGTCCCTAAGAAGAGAAATTTCTGGGTATTCTGGGAACCAGTTATACCAAAAATCAATCTGATGAATGGGTTTACATCACCCATCTAATCATGGATGGAAAGAAAGTGCAAGTTGATGCTAGTTTTGTAAGTTGGGTGGGTTTACATCAGCAAGTTCCCAGACGACTGAAGGAGGCTTTAATTGTTCTTTGGTGTAGGATGGTGCAAGCTGACAGCTAACTGGTCGGGTTTACGCCCACAACCTGTTTCCACTCAGGTGGGTTTGCCTATAGAACCAATTTTGGGTGGTTTGGTTTTGGTTAGCAGGTGCTTCATGTCTGCAACCCAGTGGTGGTTTACACTGCCAGTCCTCATCCAGCTGAACTGGCAGGACGTAGAACTGAACCCCAATGGTTGGGGGGTTTAAAAGTAAAACATGTCTTGGTGAGTAAATGCTTACAACCTGCTTTTGGGGTTGAGGTTGGTGGTTCCAGGATCGGGTTTATGTCTATGACCAGTTGCAGGAGTGGGGGTGACTAGGTTTATGTCTACAACCTACTTGAGGTCAGATGGATTTACTTCAGCTACTCAGTTGCAGGTAAATGAGTTTGAGTTCACTGGATGTACTTTTACAGCATGGTTCTGGTTGGGCAGGTTTACATTTATAAGCCTGGCAAACACTGTAAGATGTTTTGACCTTTTTGGGCCGATTCGTGCAAGAATTATTTGGATTGGACCAATTTCAACCCCGTCATGATCCTGTGTTGTGTAGTATACGAAGGGGCGATTAACCTCACATGACCACCTCCCGATTAGGAATCATAAGGCCGGGAGAAAATCAGACATGCTTGAAATTCAGTGGGGCCTCGTAAGCTGTTCGTGGGCAAATCCTCCTGTTCGAGCAGAGCTACAAGCCGATTTACCAGAGACTCACGCATTGCGCATGTGCAAACAAGGGAGTTCTCCTTCTTCCAGATTGTCGAGTCCGACTCGCGCCATCTTTCTGTATTAAGTCAGACGTGTGATTGTTGGACATAAAGTGTGAGCAGGTAGATCGCATCAGAGCGTCGGGCCGTACATTGTAAGAACAACATCGTGAGCTTTGAACTTTTAAACCCTGCTGTTTCGTTGTACAGTTTGAGCTCTGCTGAGTAAAATGATTGAAAAAAGCGTACAGTGTATGCCCAGTCAAGCTGATCCCGTGGTAGGTGGTTAGGATGGATGGATGAAAATCAAATAACAATTTGTTTTAAATTCTTAAACCAATTTTAGCAACATTCAAAGCCTAAAAAATTAAAAACTGGTAATAATAATTTTCTAGTAAAAAGAGTGAATTAATTTATATTCCTTCCCTTCTCGACTAGAATTTATTAAATCTCAATGCTGCAATAATTAAACAGAATTATAAGGGCATCTGTTTCCTGTTTCAGGCAGCTTCATAACACTTCTCTAATAAAAAGAAACTCAGGAGTGTAACTTCTTATCCTTACAAGACCGCATTTAAAGCAAATAACAAAAATAAAGACTCAGCATGACTAGCTAAAGCAGTCAAAGGAAATGATAGCCTAATAGTTAAGTAAAAGAACGTTATTGATTGGCAGAAGTGAAATTCCTAAGTATGAAGAATAGAAGTCATAGAAACTCAGAAGAACTACTGGAGAAAAAACTGACTCAGTACAAGGTTGGCAGATAAAAAGCTTGGTCTAAGGAGTGTTGTTCTGAGTCAAAGGGAGGGTCAGGATGTTTCCTGAAAACTTGATACATACAGACAGGGATGAGGAAACAACTCATGGACGTGTTGGAGAGCATGTGACACACCTGTCAGGGAGGTGTCGCTGCTCAAAGGTCGGGGGTGTTGATACATGATGTTAATCAGGATGACAATAAAGTCTGTGAGAGTAACTGGATCTGAAACACAAACAATAATGACAAACTGTCTTATTTTGGTGTCTAGACAGTTAAATAAAGGCTAGATCTCAGAGAACAATCATCCAAGCAGCAAGAAAGAAAGCAATTGAACTTGAACTTTGATTGCTTGGCATTTTACGTGGAGAATAAAATGCCTCAATCTCGGAATTGTGATGGTTGTTGAATCACGCTACCAGCAGTCAAATCTGGTCTTTTTTAAGATCTGAAATCTGACATCATTAGTTTAAAAGCAACATATCCAACACTGAAAATAACTGGTAAATAACTGGATAAATATGATATCATGTTAAAGAAGGAGAGTGAACAGAAATCTTTCAGTCTTAGTAACTTAAACTCACATTTTGTTCTATATAATTAAGTTTGCACCCATCTGCTCCCATTAAAGCTGTATTATCAGTGTCTCGGTTCTGAACTTTATATTTACCATGCAAAAAACCAACCTTTGCTTTTTTTCCCCATCTGCTTACAAGCATCTGCTTAGCCCTTAAACCTGTTTTCTGTACATTAGAGTTTGTTGTAAATTAATTGAGTGCCAACGACAAAATGGGCCCAAATGAAACCCTCACTACCATGCTTGATATCTGGACGTTTTTGTGCTGGAAATCTGTGCTTAGTTCTATTTCATCCCTACTGACCGCCAGAGGGCGGTGCTGAAAGCACTGAATGTTCCCTTCGGGCATGCGCAGTTCGAGTAATTATACCAACAGAGTCACACCTGTGACACCGGATGACCACTCAGAAGCTATATAGCCTGGTGTCATCCTTTGCTCTGCTCCATTTTTCTTCTCGCACGCGGTTCGTTAACTTCCCCGTTGTCTGAAGCCCCTGTCTCTTGACCGGAGTTGCGGTTATTCTCCGCCCTCCCAGGGCTGCAACGGGTCGATTCTGAGGATTACGGAAGGTAAGTGAGTTGTTTGCTGGTGATGGTAGCGTCCGCGCCCCCTCTCCCGGCTCACGACTTTAGCTTTTTACCTACAGCTTCATGCTGTTTTGTTTCGAACTGGTGACGGCAGCGTTTTCGCCCCTACTCCCAGTGTGAATAACTTCACTGCCGAAGCTATATACGGTTAACGTAGTTAGCTTCTTTAGTTTGTTGGTGTTATACCTGGTGACGGCAGCGGTTTTCGCCCCCTCTCCCAGTATATTCCCTACTTTTGCATCCTTTTTTTCACCGGTCTGCGCTGCTATAATTACTGACGGCCTCGGTTTTCGCCCCCTCTCCCAACCAAGTGGGGTCTACTTCGTTTGCCGAAGTTGGAGACGGCTAATATTGTTAGCCTTTTTTGGTTTGTTTGCAGCCTTCTTCCTCGGTCTGCTTAGTTATAAATAGTGACGGCAGCGTTTTCGCCCCCTCTCCCAATATCAACCTTTTTTGCAGCCTTTTCGTTGGTCTGCTCTCTTAATTGGTGACGGTAGCGTTTATCGCTCCTACTCCCAACTTAAGTTGCCATACAGCTAACGTTGTTAGCTTTTTTTGTTTATTGCTTTTATACCTGGCGACGGTAGCGGTTCTCGCCCCCTCTCCCAGTATCGGCCGCCTTGTGTCCGCAGCCTCTCTTGTTTTATCCGCTATAATTGGTGACGGAAGCGTTGTTCGCTCCTACTCCCAACTAAAGTTTCCATACAGCTAACGTTGTTAGCTTTTTTGGTTTATTGGTTTTATACCAGGTGACGGTAGCGGTTCTCGCCCCCTCTCCCAGTATCGGCTGCCTTGTGCTCGCAGCCTCTTTCGTTTCTCTGCTGTAATTGGTGACGGCTGCGTCTGCGCCCCCTCTCCCGATTTTCGATAACTTTCTGTTCTTCAAGCCTTGTCGGCCTTCGACATGGATGGCTCTCACAGCTGCATGGATTGTGGGGCTGCCCTGCAGGCAGGGGATGGCCACGACCTGTGCCCTAACTGCCTTGGACATGAGCACCTTTTGGAGGCGCTGTCTGAGAACCCCTGTATGAACTGCAGCTTTATGCCCCATGCAGTGAGGGTGGCCCGGTTGGCCCAGTTGTGCCCCCAGGAGGGCTCGGACCTTCCGCCCTCTGGGCAGGTGGTTCCCCCCAAGCGTTCTAAGCGCCGTGGTGGGACCACAGCATCTGTGCCCCTCCCCCGGACGAAGCGGGCCAAACCTGACCAGGGCCTGTCCACAAGGGTGGAGCAGTTGTCAGCAGAGCTGGCAGAGATGAAGTCCTTGTTGCAGACACGGCAATCTGATCCCTCGCTCCCAGTGGTTGGGCTCTCTTCCCCACCAATGCCCGAGCTGGTTGTAGAGGATGACGTTATCTCTCTGGCTGCTTCCGCTTCTCATTTTAGAGATGAGGAGGAGGCAGGGTCCTCTCAAGCCTCTGAGGCTGGTTCATTTTCATCTCAGAGTGCGGTTGGAGAGGCCGGTGACGGTTCCATGCGGGAGGTCATGTCTATGGCCCTGAAGCAGCTGCAGCTGGAACTCCCACAAGGAGAGGCATCCAGCTCCGGCAGTGCTTTTTTCAGACGTGGAAGGGCTCCTACTCCCTTTTCTGTACCTCCATCAGAGGAGTACCTGAAGGAGTTACACGCCTGTTGGCGGGAACCGAGAGCGGTGTCGCGTCTCTCCTCGGATGGTCGTGTATTAGCTGCCATGCATGAGTCGGTGAAGGCCGGCCTGGACCGTATGCCAGCAATTGAACCAGCTGTTGCTTCACTGATTGTGTCACCAGATGAAGCCCTGCGTCCTGATGTCCGGTGCCCGCGGACTCAATGTCGGGTTACAGATGACCTCCTCTGTAAGGCATACAATGCAGGAGCGCGTGCTGGCCGCCTTGGCAATTCCCTGGCGCACCTCATGTTTGCCCTGTCTGCATCTGTTCAGGACACTGGTGGTGCAAGTGCGGCGGTTGGTTATAGTGACGCAGCGCTGCAGGCCTTCGCGCTGATGACCAGAGAGCTTGGAGGGGTCATGTCTTTCCTTGTCCAAGCTCGTAGACAGGTCTGGTTGGCACAGTCTCCTCTGACTGAAGCATGCCGTAGGACCCTCAGGGGTGTCCCGGTTGTACCAGGGGAGCTGTTTGGATCAGCTGCCTTGGAGGCGCTGGAAAGGACTGCTCAGGCACGTCAGACTAGCCAGCAGCTTTCCGGCCTTTGCAGGAGCATACCTGCCTTTCCCCAGCGATCGGGCCGCCCTGCCACTACCCCCAGCGTTCAGCCACGACCTCAGACTGGTGGCAGACCTGTTGGTTCCTATCCCCATGATGTGCGGCAGAGACTGAGGAGGGACTTTCGTGAGCCAGTCTGCCTCCCTGTTAGACAGACCCGGGCCTCAAATCCTGGACGCCCTCCCCCCAGAGCCCCCAGGGGCCGTGGAGATAGAAGATGATGCCACCGGGCCAGCCGTCGGACATTTTTCCCATCAGCAGCTGAATTTCTGGGCTGCTCATGCCGTAGATCCATGGGTGGTTGCCACCTTAACCAATGGCTACAGGCTCCAGTTCCGACGGCGGCCCCCCCTCTCACACCGGGTCAAGATGACTGTCATCACAGACCCAGTGAAATCTCAGGCACTAGACCAGGAGCTTTCTGCCCTCCTAGGCAAGGGGGCAATCGAGTCTGTAGATCCTCTGCGGCAACCCAGAGGCTACTACTCCACATACTTCCTTGTGGCCAAGAAGACCGGCGGTTTTCGCCCCATTTTAGATCTAAGGGGACTGAATCGGTACCTGAAGATCCTTCCCTTCCACATGCTCACCATAACAGAGGTCCTTCAGACCATTGTGGCGGGAGATTGGTTTACATCAGTAGATCTGACAGACGCCTACTTTCACGTGCCTATTGCGGCAGAACATCGCCGTTTTCTCAGGTTCGCCTATCGGGGGCGCCATTGGCAATTCCGGGTGCTCCCATTCGGGCTCTCCCTTTCCCCGAGGGTGTTTACTCGATGCGTGAAAGCAGCCCTCTCTCCTCTACAGGCCTCCGGAGTCAGGATTCTGCCATACCTGGACGATTGGCTTCTTTGTGCTCCCTCTCAGGTAGCTGCCTCTCGGGATACGTCCCAGCTTCTACTTCATGTGTCACTGTTAGGCCTCAAAGTCAACTTGGCAAAGAGTTGTCTGGTTCCATCTCAGACAACCACCTTTCTTGGGATGCATCTGGACTCTGCTACCATGATGGCCCGTCCATCTGTTCACAGGGTGGATGAAATACTCCAGCTTGTCCGTCGATTCAGACTGGGCAGGGAGTTTCCCTACATCATCTTCCTGCGAATGCTGGGCAAACTGACATCAGTCACTCGTGTCGTGCCCTTAGGGCTGCTCCTTCTGCGTCCTTTGCAGCGATGGCTCAACAGCTTTCGCCTAGACGCCAGGCTGCACAGGCATCGCAGGCTAATGGTGACCAGGAGCTGCCTCCATGCCCTAGCTCCTTGGCGAGACGGGACCCTTTTGTCCAGTGGTGTTCCAATGGGGCTAGTAGTGTGTCGAAGGGAGATGGTCACCACGGATGCCAGCCTCATGGGCTGGGGTGCCGTGTGGCAACACAGAGCTGTTCGGGGTCTCTGGGACCCAAGGGAGAGCACCGAACACATAAATGTGCTGGAGCTGCGGGCTGTGCACATGGCCCTCAGGTGCCTTCTGCCCCACCTAGAGGGAAGGCACGTGCAGATTCGGACAGACAACACCTCTGTTGTTTATCATATAAACCACCAAGGTGGCACCAGGTCAGCACGTCTCTTGAAGGTGTCGAGGGATCTCCTGGAATGGGCGTTTCCCCGTCTGTGTACCCTGCGCGCAGCGTATCTGCCAGGACGGCAGAACCAGGTTGCGGACTCTCTATCCCGCCAGGCACCTGCTCTGGGAGAGTGGTCTCTTCACCGCGACGTAGTGCGCATAATCTGGAACCTCTTTGGGCAGGCAGAGGTAGATCTGTTCGCCACAGAGGAGTCGACCCATTGCCCCCTATGGTATTCCCTAACCGGGATGGCGGGCGCACTGGGCCAGGATGCACTGGCTCATCCATGGCCGCAGGTTCTCCTGTATGCCTTTCCACCCCTCTCACTGATTTGGCCGACTCTACGGAGGGTTTTCGAGCAGGGCCACAGAGTGTTGCTGGTAGCTCCGTTCTGGCTGCTTTGGAGTCTGTGTCACGGTACTCCATGGCGTCTTCCAGCAAGGAGGGATCTGCTGTCTCAGTTGGGGGGACAGATATGGCACCCCAACCCTCAACGTCTCCAGCTGTGGGCATGGCCCCTGGGAGGCTGACTGGGTGTTCAGACACCGTGAGACACACCGTATTGAGTGCTAGGGCTTCCTCCACTCGGCTGCAGTATGCTAACAGATGGCGCCTCTTTTCTCAGTGGTGCTCTGCCCACAATGAGAACCCGGTTTCCTGCTCGGTGCCCACTATTTTGGAGTTCCTCCAGTCTCTCCTTGATAAGGGCCGCTCTCCTTCGACCCTTAAAGTGTATGTTGCAGCAATTTCATGTCTTCACCGAACTGTTGACAACCGTACAGTGGGGCGCCATGAACTGGTTTCACTTTTTCTGCGTGGTGCTCGTAGGTTGTGCCAGCGGCCAGCCCCACGAGCCCCAGATTGGGATCTGCCGTTGGTTCTCACAGCTCTGTGCCACCCTCCATTCGAGCCTTTGGCACAAGCAGAACTCAAGTGGCTTTCCTGCAAGACTGCTTTCCTGATGGCTATCGTCTCAGCTAAGAGGGTCAGCGAGCTACATGCTCTTTCTGTCAGCCCTAGGTGTATCAGGTGGAATCCAGATGGCTCTGGTGTTACCCTGTGGCCTAATACTGCGTTTGTGCCTAAGGTGTTGTCTCCTTTTCACCGTAACCAGCCATTGCGGCTGGCTCGGTTTCAGCCTCAATCTGGTACAACTGAGAATGAGTCTGAGTTGTTGTGCCCAGTAAGAGCGTTGGAGGCATACATTGCAGCCACCGCCAATCTGAGACGCTCGGACCAGCTTTTCCTATGCTATGGGGGTCCAAGGTTAGGCTGTCCTCTTTCTAAACAGCGTCTGTCCCATTGGATTGTGAGTGTCATCTGCCACGCCTACGCTGCAGGTCACTGCTCCCTGCCAGTCGGTGTGAGAGCACATTCCACCAGTAGCGTCACCGCTTCCTGGGCTGCTTTGAGAGGGGTTCCGCTGGAAGCTATATGTGCTGCTGCTTCATGGGTTTCCCCGACCACCTTCACCAGGTTCTACAGTGTCAATGTGGCTGCCCCTCATCCCCTGGGTCAGGTCCTTTTACAAGGTTCTGCTGGGCCTCCTCTGTGAGGTATGTGCTCAGGATTCCTTGTGACATCGTTGGCATTAGTCATTCAGTGCTTTCAGCACCGCCCTCTGGCGGTCAGTAGGGATGAAATAGAACGAAAGTTACGTATGTAACTACGGTTCTATGAATCCCGGATGACCGCCAGAGCTTCTCTGTCACTCAGAATCCTTGCTTTTGCAAGGATTCTGACTCTGTTGGTATAATTACTCGAACTGCGCATGCCCGAAGGGAACATTCAGTGCTTTCAGCACCGCCCTCTGGCGGTCATCCGGGATTCATAGAACCGTAGTTACATACGTAACTTTCGTTTTCTCCTAACATGGCACTTTAAAATTAATTAAACTTTTTTTTTGTCATCTTTTGTCATCTTCCAAAAGGGGCAGTGTTCAAAAGATCTGATTCATGCATAAAGAGTTCTCAAAACCAACATCAGCCTTTGTTCTGGCAAAACCAAATCATAGAGGTCTAATTTTTTTCTAATTCTTTGAGGTCACAAATCTTTCTCTTTAAGATGATTACTGAGGCCTGCAGAGTTTGGGGAAGAGCTGAAATTCATGTTTTTATGGAGAAGCTATTAATCAAGATCTTTGTTTAGAGACACTTATTTCCTACCTTCCCTAAATCATTTAGTCCTGCATTTTTACCTTTTTATTTTTAGACAATAACTATGACTGGTTTAAATCTGCATATTTCTGTAACATCTCCTGTTAGAATAAAAAAGGTTGAATATTATTTCTTGATCAATAAATATTTTACACTACCCCAACAGACGGTTTTCTATACAGCAGGGATGTTGATTCTGAAGTAGATCTCTGAAATGTTTTGATTTATTTGATAATATATAGACAAAAACGTTGTGTTATGGTGTTAATACGAAGCAATACTTCAAACATATTGACAACGACCTGTTATAGTGTTGAAACGTGGCAGTTAACGCCTATTTAAATCCTTAAAAAAAAAGATCCATTGATTATTATCTCCTCTAGTTCATTGACAATTAAATAGTAATAAATTGGCTGCAGAGGGGAAAAAAACTTGAAGGTTAAGACACCTGAAGCAGAGTCTTAAACAATCCAACTTTCTGCACCTCACAGTATTATGTTACCTTATCAGGGATAAAGGTGGGATGGAGAGGAATAAAGTTCCTGCATAAAAGGAAAGGAGGGAGTGGACTATATCTGTGCTGACTATAAGCATTCCTGTGTCAGAGCTTGATTGCAAAGATCAGCCAGATATTGTGAAATTCACCTAAAAAAGGAGGGAGAGCAATAAAGTTCATAGTACATTAAAAAAACAAAAGAAAGAAAAAACACAAAGATGGGTGACCCTTTAACTCTAATTGCTCACTCCTATGACAAACGTAGTACTCAGCTGTTTAGCCCTTATTTATGGCTTAATTACTGAGATAAACGCTTTGCCTTAATGAGCCAATGTTGCAGAACCACACCTTTGTGCGTCCTGATTTTAACGGGAAAGAGTTTTCGTCCGTCGGTGTAGATGATGAGTTTACCCAGGACACACAGAGAGTGAACAAAGAATGAATATTCAAGCTCCTTTCTGGTATAAACGCTCCTCTGAGACAAACCTGAAAAAAAAAGAGAAAAAGTTTTAGTAGAGGAAAAAAAAATAGTGAACAATATTTTTTGTATGTTTTCTGCATCAATACAAGTTGTCCTAACTTTTATTTTTATTTTAAACAGAAGATGAGACAGATTAAAAAAAGGCATTAACACCCCCTCAAACTAAGACATGCAAATAATAAACAACAACCTGGGACACACATTATGTTACCTGAGGGAGGAAACTAAAACAAAATTTAGATAAATTTATCAAAATATTGTAAATTGTAAATATTGTTGCCAGTTGTTCCTGAGGACAAAATTCTCACCACATGAGACAATCTAATATTTTAGCCACAGTTTAGTTGATGGAATTTTTTTTTCTAAACATCAAAACAAGCTTTTTTTGCTAAAATAAAGAGATAAAAAAAGTTTTTTACATTTGTTGAGTTGTAAAAACTGAACAGAGGTTCCTAGTATGAACTCAATATGCAACATAGCTCAAAAGGTTCTACATATACTAGACCAAAATGAAACAATTCAAGACAAAGTAAAAAGTAATGAAGAGGAACCATTTTTTTGTTGTAAAGCGTTTTCCACATACTCGGGAGGTGCTGAGAAAGTTTTTGTGTAATACTTTGCTTATGACTTCTCAAGAAATCGTTTTCTTGTACTTGTAAACTTTTATGTTTCCTTTGTCCCTAATGAAAAACTGACAGGTGGTGTAGACCAGCGGTCCCCAACCTTTTTGGCACCACGGACCGCTATATGTCAGACCATATTTTCACGGACCGGCGGGAGGGGGGTAAATACGATCAAGTAAAATGATACGACGGCATAAAAATAAAACAACAAGCCGCTCCCATCTAGCATATACATATATACTTTTTTCTGTGCGGCCCGGTACCAAATGACCGACGCACCGGTAACGGTCCACGGCCCGGCGGTTGGGGACAGCTGGTGTAGAGGGTTTCTCTTCTGTTGCCACATATTTGTTGAATTAAAAGGTAATTTGTTTAAGAGTACAATAATATTCATCACAAAGAGATGATTTGAAAACTGAATAGGGGACGTAAACTCACAAATAAGAAGCCTGTGATCAGATTAATCTCAGCCGGTACGATTAAACGATGATCCTTAATTAGGAAGAGCATCCTTTTAAACGCTTATTCTGATCATGTCATTCGGATTGGGGCAATCTGATCCTAATGAACACATGAATGAAGAGCTGGGAAGCACAGTACACAGCTGTATTTTGTTCAGAACCAAAACATTCTGTTTTAGAGCACCACCTTTAAAGACTCTCAAACGTAGATGGATTAAAAAAATAGCCCTGCTACAATTCCTGAGAGTAGAAGTATAAGTAGGAATTTCAACCTGCATCCAGATAAGAAAAGGTCAAGGTTTTCAGTTTCAAGGAGCCAAGCTGTGCTCCAGGAGATAACAACCTACAGGACGATCTCCTGCTCTCCTGGATTTCTTCTTACTTAGTATGTCCAAACTTCTTATAGAAGTTACAGATTTAACTCAATATTGGAAAAAATCTCAGGGAAACAAAAGGAAGCTTAAAACATTTGCCCTAAATGTGAGAAAATAACAGATGTCATCAGTAAATTTACAGCTGGACTACAATAATTCACAAGACCTATACTTTAGTTATATTTTGGTTGGATCATTAAAAAGCAGTTTGTTTACGAAAACTGAGTATTTTTCGTACCTTCGACAGTAAAGGAAAGCAAAATACGCAGGGTAATGTTTGAATGACACAGGGCTCTTGTTGGGTTTCAATCTAGTGAGTCAATCACATCAACCATCACAAGAACGAGTGCAAAATAAGGGAAAAAATACTCCTCTTTTGAAACCACACATATAAAAGTCTGAGGAGGAATCATTTCTTTATGCCGTTTTCCTTACCAGGGTCATCGGCCTCACTGGTGTCGCATTCAAACAACTCACTATAATGCAAGCCCTGCTGAAGAGCTTCTGCTACCTGGAAAATAAATAAAGTAAAGACTGTGTCATTGATACTTCAAATAATCACAAAACTGAAATAAAAGCACACAGAAAATGGGGAAGTCACTGCAGCTCGCTAGCAGTGGAAATGAGAGAGGTGCAAGTTTGCAGGCTTTCTACTGATAATGAAGGCATCACTTTCATGTAAAGGCTGTTTGCAATAATCTTTACTACATAAATTGATGTGGCACTACTTCATGTGCTACATATTTAACTAAACTAAAGGGGGAATGTTTTTTTTTTTTAAACAAGGTTTTCTGGACATCCTGTCAAACAGAACCGTAGACCATGGCTGAGTTGATGATTATATCTGGAACTCATCAATTAGAATAGAATAGAATAGAATAGAATAGAATAGAATAGAATAGAATAGAATAGAATATCCCTTTATTGTCCCACAATGGGGAAATTGTGGTGTTACAGCAGTAGATAATAAGTAATAAGTGGTCACCAAAATTTGGACCCTAAAAAGTGTATAAAAATAAATGCATAAGTGATAAGAGTAAAATAAAATGAAATCTGTTGTTAAATTATTTTAAAAATACAGTTTTACAAACATTAGCTGGAGGTCTTTATTAGGGAGCAGTGGTTTGTTCTACTGGCTCCCCTTTATACAACATATAGCATTTTGCTAATATATGTTATACTTGCTATACTGCCGATTAAACAACCATTACTTTATAAAACATAAAAGGATTGTTTAACAAGAAAAAGTAGCAAGGTTTTAATAAAAAAATGTGTGAAATTGTTTTCCCAAATTTGTTAGTTATTTTTAGTGATTAAAAATGGCTTAATTACATTTCAAGTGCATAAATTAAGATATTTATAATAATAATAATATAAATATCCCAACTAAATGCTACCGTTGCCTTGCAGCAAGAAGGTCCTGGGTTTGATTCCCAATCTAGGGTCTTTCTGCATGGACTGATGGAAATATTTAAACATATTCACTGCAATTCTAACCTTTATTGCAACATTTAAAACCTGTATTTTTAAGCGCAAACAGCACATGATTGTGAATAAGGCTTCAGTAGTAGTAATAATGAATTATCTGAATAAATATGGCAATAATAAAAAAATATTGTGGTTCTGATTTACCACCTCAGGGCTTGGCTGAGTAAGTCTGTTGATGTGCTTTAACTGATACACACTAAGGATTGGTTTCTTGCTGCTGGTCTGATTGCCATCCATTAAATAATCCTGAGGCTCAGCTGTTTCTCTCAAGATTCTTTTTTATGTGCAGAATAGGCTGCAAAAAGGCAGCTGAGAGACATGATTGACTGAATCACCCACCAGAGACTTGTATTTTTTCTCCAGGAGCCTGAAAACCACCGCCCTGCTGTAGTAGCCGTGCTGAAAAAGGACAGGAGAATGAGGGTTGAATCTATGTGCAACAAACACGTCTAAATAATGTGTTCAGAGGGCATACACACCATCCATTTATTAAACCAGGTAGCTTTAATATCGAGTAAGGACAGCAAGTGGACCGGTTCCAGTGTTCTCTCTGCTCTATTGGAGCCACATTCATGATAGATGGACAGAAGGGAGAATGTGCTCTCTATAATCTCCTCCATATATCTGAAGAAAGACGCATATAAAAAAAAGAAAGTTGGTATATAATTAAAAAGTAAAATCCAGTCCCACAGAGAGAAGAACTCACTTCTCTGGGTGACGGATCCAGAAGGTCGTCACATCTTTCTGAAAGTCATTCATGAGTCGAACCTGAGACAGAAGAACAGAAAATAAAGCATCAGACAAAAGTTTCTGTTAGGTAGTAGATGTAGGAGATGGTTAGCACCTGTTTGAGGAGACGACTGATCTGAGGAGTGTTAATGTCGACAGTAGCTGATCCAGTAGGGAAGCTTAACTCCTGAGACCGAAAGCCTGATTCTACACTCTTTGCTGCTCAGAAACAAAAAAAATATATAATTAAAAACAGTGTGAGTTTATATATCCTACTGTAAAAGCACATATCCAGCTGTACCTACATACATATGTACTATTTAGTAAAAATAATTAAGAGTCAACAAAACTATTTACCTAAATGCATTAGCATTAACCTGTGGGGACAAGAACAATTACAGATTTTTTCTTGATACCCTCATACCTCTAAGCTTAATTTGATATATTTGGGTTAACTTGTTAGAATAAAACTTAATATGCTGCAAGATAAACTTTCACAACACGGAAGGACTCAGAAGAGCGGCCTACCGAAGCTGGTGTAGATTTCTCGCGTCACGTTCAGCGGAGATGAGGAGAAGCTTTTAGCTAAGAAACGCAGCACATTCTCCTATAGGAAGTGAAATAAAAGAGAACATTTAGAAACAAAAATAAAGAAACTTCAGCGCCCTGTAAAAGTACAACCATCCGTACAACAGTGAGTCACTTAACACCACAAACCACCAGATATCTTATTTTGTAAAATGATAATCCAAGACAAAGTTTTTTTGTAAACAAATGGCTAATTTTATGTTTGGAGTGGTTGCCCAGTTGGAGGGTAAAGCCCTGCCCCAGTTCCTTGTTTTCTGCAGCCTCAGACATGTTTTCTTCTAAGAGGATCTTCTCTGGAACGTTTTGACATTAAAACTACTTTTTAAAGTATGTGGCTCTTTCATAAATGTATTAACCAAACCAGTCTTTTCTCTTCAAACTAGTAACTAATAACCCATATATTTCTAAATGGGGCTTACTTTAAATGTTGAAAGATCTTTTTCAGTTGGGTTATCGACAAGTTTCCATATAAAAGCTCTGTTTAGTGGTAGCTAGTATTTATTATAAACTTGAATGCACTTAATCTATCCCATTTGGTTGATTTATTTTGTTAGAATGCAAACAAAATATGTTTATATATTTTATATGTTTATTCACATATAAAATATGCTAAAACTATTGACCCAAGCATAAAACATAGCGAAAGTTAAACTTTGTATGACTTTCCCACTTTTCTATAAAGTTCAGGTTGATAAGAGACCATGAGAAGTACAGTGGTTTTAACAGACTCTACCTTTTGAGCTGTGGAGCTTTTCCAGATTCACTACTGTTAGGTTTATTCAATGATGATTATAAAATTAATGTGTGCTTATAAAACATTTGTGCAAGGGGATGCTCCACTCCTGTGTAATGATTCAGTCAGGAGACCATCCTGCCTTGTCATTCTGATGGAGCATTCTGTCTTCATGAACTGATCAATTGTGGTCCAGTGGGAGACAGTATGTTTGAGTCTGGGGTTCAACTGTCTCTCCTTTCTGCAGAAATTGTATCCATAATTGTGTATTTCAGTTCTTCCTTTTTCAAAAAACCTACATTTTATGAACCCGACAACTACCTCTTTGCAAATTTTCTGATTCATCATATATATATATATTTTTTAGGGATGCACGATATTGGGATTTTGGCCGATATCCGATATGCCGATATTTTAAAACTCGTGTAGCCGATAACCGATACCGATGTTAAAGCTGGACAAAAATAAGTAGTCATTGAAAATAGCAGTTTTGTTATCCATTTCTGACACTTTGAAAAATAATATACTCAAATATATTTTTATATGCTGATATCAAATTGATTTTTAAAAATGCGGTATTGATCTATTTTACTTTCAAAATCTCGTGAAATTTCATCGTTCTGTTACAAACTCTCGTGATATTTTGCAAATTCTTGTGAGATTTTGTTAGTAAAATAGATCGATACCGCGTCAATTAATCAACATATATAAAATAATGCAAAATTTCATAAATTTTCGGGGGATTTCGTAGCATAACGATGACATATTGCAATATTTCATTAGTAAAAAAGATTGATATGGTGTTTTTAAATGGCAATATATCAGCATATGAAGATATTGTGATATTTTAATGTATCAATATTTTTTCCCTTGTCTTTAGAAGTTTTTAAGTCCATAAAAAAAAGAAGTTTTTGAGGAAGAAGAAGTAGTATTTTTTTTTTTTAGACTTTAGAAAGTCAGAAGCTGATCAAATATCGGGTTAAATATCGGTGGGGTGGCCGATGTCCGATATTCAGTTTTAAGGCCGATACCGATAGGGGGCCGATTATATCGTGCATCCCTAATATTTTTTAAAAAAATTCAGATAATGCACTGGGTGCTCAAACATTTCCACAGCCTTCTAGTTCACCTGTCATCATGATAAGGTTTGTTCCATCAGAGTAAAAAAGACTGAATGCAAATGTACACCACACATTCCAGATTTTTAATTGGTGAAAGGTTTTTTAAACAGTTCATTATTTTCCTTCTGCTTCCAATCTAGCTCCACCGGTTTTTATTGATCCAGCACAGGACTATGAATATTTGCACTTTAACCTGAAAATAAAATTACACTGCAAAAAAAAATGAAATCTAAAAGTAATTTTATTCTTAAGATAAGTGCTTTTTTTCCCTTGTATTGAGGAGGTAAGTGCGACACCTGGCTAATGGAACAAGACAATTTAAATTTAAAATAAGATAAAACAATTAAATTGTCTTATTTCAAGTGCATATTATTTAATTATCTGATTTTAAGAGTAAAAATACTCATTCCATTGGCAAATAACCGTATTAATTGCTCAAATTACGGCTAAATACACTTAATTTAAGAGATTTTTACTCATTTCTAGATTGTTTTTGCAGTATTACTTAGAGTTTGTTGCATAAAGATGTTTATTAGTAATATGTGATATCAGAAAGCATTCTCTTGTGATTTAGTACTGAACAGATGCAATATTAATAAGACATGGACGGTTAGGGCAACAAGTAGATGAGGACTCACGCTGAGGTCAGGTTCAGTCAGAGCTGCACAGAGGTTCGCTTGCAGAGTTTTCCAGCTCTCACAGCTCAGAACGTCAGAAAGAGGAGCGCCGCAGAGAGCTTGCAGAGCCTCACGCCGCACCTAAACACACATTTACAACGATTACCCAAAACCTGAGATCAGACTGTCCAAAGCACTGCGGCCTGCCTGCTAATTAAAGGTGAACCACGCATATTACTCCGATACTGTCCTCCCTGCACCGGCTGCCTGTACCTTTAATATTAACTTCTAAATTGTGATGAACATTTTTTGTTCCTCTGATTCATTACATTAGCTTTATTGCGACTTAATTGTTGCGATGATCTTCCATCTTAGGGTCATTACCTAAAATGATTAAAAATCTATTTTAAAACTCACTATTCTAATTGAACAGGCAAATCAAGCTGCTTTTATAAATATTTTCTTAACTTATTGTTTCATTTTCCCAAATTGAATTATTTGTATAATTAATACTGTAATTAAATGCTTTTCTTATTCAATTTTTTCTATTCTTGTATTCACTCTGATCATTTAAGGTGAGTAAAGCGCTCTATAAACAAAGATTGATTGATCCAATTTTGTTAACTGTGTGGCTATTGATCCCACTAAACAAAGGCAATTCACTCTGAACGGCTAAGACATAAACTCAATTAGCTGTGTAAATCCTGTTGGTTTATAATTCCTAATAACCTTATTAAACCTTAGATTTACCCACCAAAAAAAAATCTATTTAGTTTACAAGCCTGGTCTTTAAAGAATGGTGCTTAGGGAGAAGAAGGGGCAGTATTACGTTCACATTTTCTTTCCTGGTACCTCTTTGGGCTTGCTGGGGTCAAGTTTTTCCGCCAGCGCCTGCAGCTGCTCCTGTCTGATGAAAGCATAACTCTGGAATCAAACAGGGAAATGAAACATAAAGCAATAATTATCATATGAACACGTTTAGTTATTGATTGTTGGGGGAAAAAACACTCAGCATTAAATAGTTGCATTTAAACGACTATCTAAGACTATCTTAGGGCATCCTTTTTAAATATTGGCTTCATGTCTTTATAAATATTAAACAAAACAAAAAATAGAGAAGAAAACTGAAATCTAAAATAAATTTGTTTACTTCTCTTATTTACTGTATTTCCTTTAGATAGCTGCATTTCTGACCTGGTTGAAGGAGGAGTCGCTGTCTGAGCAGTTATCGGCGTACTGGCTGCTGGACTGACACCGCTCCATCGCTCTGTTCATCTCCTCCTTTCTCAGCTGGTCTTCCTCAAACTTGTTGATTAGAGACTCCACAACCACCATCATGGTGTTTTTTAATGTCTGTATCATCAGACGGTACCTGTTACAGACATGGGAAGTTGTTTTACTGACATACCCAGCATTAAAGCTGAAGTCTGTAAGTTTTTAAAAATCACTTTTTTGTCATATTGGCTAAAACTGTCCCTATGCCCAGACAGCAGTACATGTGATATGTAACCTGTGAAAAAAACGGCTTCAATTGGTCCCGCCTACTGCCTGTATTGCAATCTGGAAAGAATATTTCGGGACGAGACAAAACAACCAATCACAGCCAGAGGAGCGTCTGATGGAGTGTCAATCACAGCTCACACACGCTGAATCCTGTCCCCTCCCTCTCACCGCTGAACCTGCCGCTGCCGCCGGCTGCCGCAGTCAGGAGGATGCGCGTGGAAGTCATGGCGGAGCGACAGCCACCAGCGAAAGAGAAACTGCCCTTACTGCCCCTGCCGACAACTGCTTACACGGCAAAGACTTCAAAAAAGAAGATGTCAATGGAAGAGCTGCCGCGTACGCTGCTTGGACGCTTCTGGTCGCATGCGGTAGCCGCGCAAATGCTGTGAGAGGGGTGGAGCTTGGAGGTGGGGCATGAGTGAAGCAGAGAGGGTGGGGGAGTGGTGTGAAACCTGTTTTTCTTCAAATTTTCAGTCGAAGTCTGCTCTCTTCTCAATGTAACAGACTGCAGCTTTAAGCAGTTGTAATCATTATTGTTTTATTATTCAAGGGATTGAGCTAAAAATACTTTCTAAAAGAAAAAAAAAAAAAGACAAATTTCTAATTTCTCAGGATATTTCTAATGCATGGCAACAAAGGCTGCTGTGAAAACATACAGTTTGCTATAACTGGATATGTAGAAAATATGCCTATAGAGAGGGTAGTATATGAATGAGAATGAGAACAGGATAAAAAATATTAGGCAATATGTTTATCCTGAAATATTTTTGTCACATTTTAAGTACAACACAAAATGTTGGAAATTTAAATATGGCTTTTGGATTTAATAGGAATTTTTAGGCTATAAGGAAGGACAGATGGATGGACAAACTGAGGGAGTAACTAGCAGTCAGACGTTTGAACTGATGTTTATCTGATTGACAGATCTAGAGACAGAACGACAGAGTGATGGATGACAAGGCAGGCGAATGTTTAAAACGGATTTCAGTGACTTAACATGTAATTGTGTGAAATTATAAACTTAAGACTTCTCATTTATGTTACATGATTTTTTACAGTCAAGTCGGGAAATATAAAAATGAGCTTTTATAGACCTAGACTCTTTATTTATCCTTTGGGTTTACTTGTTTAGGGAGATTCTGGTTCCAGTAGCTTATATCGAGTACAATGTGCAGAGTTAGCAAGATGCCATTAAAGATAAAAAATACAACAGACGATATAAAAAAGTGTATATAGCACAAAAGAGCATAAAAGAAAAATATATAACTCTTCTTTTCTTTAGATATAAAAATATCTGCACTGTAGAGAGCTAAGGAAAGACTACACAGTAGTTGACTTGGATTATTGCACTCGCACTGCAGAGATGAACTGACCTTATAAATAAGTAAAGAATTACACAGACTACACAGTAGTTGGCAAATTTTTTACTTATTTATAAGGTCAGTTTTATGATTCAAAATATTTTGCTGATCATATAAGCACATAAAACACTTTAAAAGGATACTGATCAGATGTGAACTGTAATTTCCCAGTGCTTTAGAGGTTTAAATAAAAATGCTCATCAGTCTGTGAGCAGAGGAGCATAAAACTCGTGTCAATTGTCAGACGGGACTCCATCATTCTCCCTGAGAAAGTAATTGCATTCCAAATGAGTCAGGTGTGCAGGAGGATATCGCCAATGGAAGATCAGAGAAAGCGTGTTTTCAGATATTGTGCTTTCCTGGTGGCTCATGGTGATTTGAGGCTCAATAGCCTGCGTTAGATCATCCAACTAAAAAGCTGAGGTCAGTGTTACAGAGTGAAACCAGGAGGAACCGTGGACGGCTGTTCCTTGTCTATTTTCTGTCCATGCTGAAGTTCCTTACAAGCGGGAAATTTCAGAGGAAGCTGGCAGACTGGTCAGTAAGACAGTGTTTGATGAGTCATTCTAAGGAAGAACTGGCAACAGCAGAACAGGGTTCCTTGGATTTCATGTTCCTGTCACTGTAGTCCTGAGATTCGCCTTAATCTGCCACCCAAAGCCAGCTTCAATAACTCAGCATGCTTAATGCTTCTTCGTAGCAGATTGATGAATATTTAGCTATGCTGTTAACATTTGTCACTTTCAGGCACACCATTTTTTATACATTACATAACAGATGGAGTGCCAAATAGGATTCTACTTTTACCTTCACCTCTGACATCAACTGCTCTAATTTACAAATAATAAACTTTCTCTTTTTAACATTACTGACCACTACTACTATGCTTTTTGTTTTGGTCACAGGGTGGGAGCTTTCCAGGTATCTTTACAAATGTGCATATTTATTTAAAGGGGGACACCGGTTGCACGCATGAGGGTTCATAAAGCCAAGGTGTGCAGAGACATGCAGAATGGTTTTATAAATCTAAATGTATTTTGCACACCATACATTTACCATAACATACCTAATGTATTTATAAAGCACTTTCAACACCCAACAGGACCAAAGTGTTATAATCATAAATACAAACAATCAATCATTAAAAAACGATAAATAAAGTGGTGTATAAAAGTAGAAACAAAATATAAATCAAGAAAAAAAGAAACACGGTAAGACAATGTCAACATCTCAGATTGTGTTAAAAGCCAAGAAAAGGAAATAGATCTTAAGAAGAGATTTAAAATCAGAAAGTGAAGAGGCCTGTCTAATGGCCAAGGGAAGGTCATTTAAAAGAAAAAGCACGCTCTCCTCTGAGCTTGGGTTTTGTCCTTGGCACCCTCAGTAACATTTGTTGGCCCTAATGTGATAAACAAAATGATTATGGTATGATATAAAATAGGGCTGAAATAATTAATCAGATTAATCCTGATTAAACGAATATTGAATTAATCATTGACTAATTTAGTAATTGATTAATCATAAACTGGAGTATAAGGACTCTTAAACATGTCTTTAGCTGACAGAGCAACCAAATTAAAGCAGTAATTCTACCAATATTGTAAAATAATATATAAACATTTTTCATTTAAGATAAAAAATAATTTTTCGTCTGTCAATATGCTCTATCCAGAAATCCTCATGTGGAAAAGTTTAAGTTTCACCTGGTTTCATTTCGTAAAAAGTCTTCTTTAGGGACCTTTGGATATCCGATTATTCATCGATTAAAGAAAAAAAATAATGAATAGATTAAGTCTCCAATATTTCATCTTTTTCATGGAGATGTGTAGAATTTTTAACAAACAATTATCATTTTTAATAAACAACACATAAAGACATTAAATGTACCACTGTACTAGGAAGACTGTCACATAAATAAAGGGAAAGTCTGAAATTCTTTTAGAAAAAGTCAAAAGCTAACATTTTTAGCGGGTGTTTTTTCTAGGGCTGCAACAACGAATCGATAAAATCGATAAAAATCGACTTTTAAAAGCGTTGGCAACGAATTTCATCATCGATTAGTTGTGTCGCGCGATTATTGCGTCATCCGCTGCGCCGTCATCACTGCCTCTTGACTGAAAGAGGAAGGAAAAAAAATACGGCAGAGCGAGTCAGCGCCGCAGGAGCAGTGTTGCCAACTCCGTATGGAGAGATATTTGTGCCATCGGTTTGAGCGCGCAGGAACCAATCCGAGCGCGCAGTGAGACAACACGCGCGCGCGCAAAACCGGTCTGGCGCGCGCTCAACTCTGAAAAACCCTCTCAACACACTGTTCTCGCGCTCAGTTTCATCTCTGCGCGTGCTCGAATCCGTCTCTGCTCGCGCTCGCTCGACCTGCTCTCTCTCCGCGCTCAACACCAGCTGTGCGCTCGGCTGTTTCTCCGCTCGCTCGACTCTCTGCGCTCGCAACTTCAGCAATGTATGTAAATGAACCATACCATCAGCCAATCACACTCAGCTTCTTTTCATCCAATGAAAGCATTCCTTCCTTCTTCTTCTTTTCTATCATGGCGGTTCGCAAGCAACTTCAAGGTGCATACCGCCACCTACTGTTCATGAGTGTGTAGCAACATTGTTTTACATCTATTCAATTCTATTTTTTAATTTTGCATTCTGAAGATAACTAAATAATGCTTTCCTTAATCTATAAACATCCTTTATATTTGCTTTATTTCCCAATAATCCTTTAAGACTCCATTCTTGGCCTGTCATTTCAACTACTCTTCTCAATTTTTCCCTTTCAGGTTCATATGTTTTACAGTTCATTAATATGTAAGCATTCGTTCCAAATACTACATCCGGTTAGATGAAAAATAAATAAATAAATAAATAAAAACACAATCAGGAAAATCAAACTACTCTTACAGTTATTTTGTCAACATTCCTAAGATAGTACTATAAAATATCTTGAATTATCTCAAATAAACTTCAGTAAAACAGTTATTAGATCATTGCCTCATCCATCTCTTTTACCTGCTATTGACATGGATTTAAATTTGCTGTTTTAAAAGAAAAATAAGGAGGATATTTCAGGTTCAAGTATGGTTCAACAGTATATAGATAATGTTTTGGATCATATTGGCCTTACTCTTAGCTTTTGTGGCGGGTGTTTCTTCTTTTTGTTGTTTTTTATGGAGGTTGGCAAACAACAATTACCGCCACCAACTGAAAAATCCTGTTTATCAAATTATTCTTTTTAATATATATAATAAAGAATAACCCTCTTATTTAGAGTCCATCTGTAAAAGGTCTTCTAAATAATAATTGTTAAATTTCAGATCAGGTCTGCTGTCTGAATAATTGCGTTTAAATTAATATAACAGTCGCTGATCTAAAATCAGAGCAAACTAAACTTCTTAATGGAACGATTTCTTCAATCCATTGTAAGGCCAATATGATCCAAAACATTTCTCCTTTGTAGGCTGAATTCCATCACTGATTCTTTTACCCGATTTAAAAATAAATTATGAAACTAAAACAAAACACCATTCCTAATATTGGAATATTTTGAAGCATCCATAAAAAATTTAACATATCCATAATATTTTTTATCTATATATTGTTGAACCATACTGGAACCTGAAATATCCTCCTTATTTTTCTTTTAAAACATCAAATTTAAATCCATGTCAATAGCAGGTAAAAGAGATGGATGAGGCAATGATCTAATAACTGTTTTACTGAAGTTTATTTGAGATAATTCAAGATATTTTATAGTACTATCTTAGGAATGTTGACAAAATAACTGTAAGAGTTGTTTGATTTTCCTGATTGTGTTTTTATTTATTTATGTATTTTTTTTCATCTAACCGGATGTAGTATTTGGAACGAATGCTTACATATTAATGAACTGTAAAACATATGAACCTGAAAGGGAAAAATTGAGAAGAGTAGTTGAAACGACAGGCCAAGAATGGAGTCTTAAAGGATTATTGGGAAATAAAGGAAATATAAAGGATGTTTATAGATTAAGGAAAGCATTATTTAGTTATCTTCAGAATGCAAAATAAAAAAATAGAATTTAATAGCTGTAAAACAATGTTGCTACACACTCATGAACAGTAGGTGGCGGTATGCACCTTAAAGTTGCTTGCGATCCGCCATGATAGAAAAGAAGAAGAAGGAAGGAATGCTTTCATTGGATGAAAAGAAGCTGGGTGTGATTGGCTGATGGTATGGTTCATTTACATACATTGCTGAAGTTGCGAGCGCAGAGAGTCGAGCGAGCGGAGAAACAGCTGAGCGCACAGCTGGTGTTGAGCGCGGAGAGAGAGCAGGTCGAGCGAGCGCGGGCAGAGACGGATTCGAGCACGCGCAGAGATGAAACTGAGCGCGAGAACAGTGTGTTGAGAGGGTTTTTCAGAGTTGAGCGCGCGCCAGACCGGTTTTGCGCGCGCGCGTGTTGTCTCACTGCGCGCTCGGATTGGTTCCTGCGCGCTCAAACCGATGGCACAAATATCTCTCCATAACTCAGCTACTTTTCAGACCCCCTCCAGCGACTATTTTTCAAAAAAGCGACTAGCGACAAATCTGGCGACTTTTTTCGGTGTCACTGGTGGCTTTTGGAGACTCTTACGTGAAAGCATGTATCATTCCTACTCTGCCGTGGGGCGCCTCCCCCACCCCAACCGCGTTTTCCCGCAGGAGTCCCTCTCAGTCAGAGCCTCAGCGTCCAGACTGCAAATGAAGCGCGCATGCACCGGGATTGACGGCGCAAATTGATCACAATAATTAAAATAGCCTGCGCTTTGTAAAGTAAAAAAAGTGATAACATGCAACTTTTTTCAAAAGAAATTAACATGGCACGGAACCACCATGTTTGTTTGGTTTTAAAGTGGGGAAACGTTACGTTAGTTTCTCAGGTAGCTCATCTGATGCTTTCCTTATCTTGTTAGTAGGTTACAGACAGTGATAAGGTTGGCTACTTATTTTACTTTAAATTTCATTTGAACTAGCTTAAGCAGCGTTTACATTTACTTTATAAATAAATTAACTTGCAAATTATGAGGGCAAGACTTTTAAAGTTTAAATCTGGCAAAGATAAAGTAAAGATGATCCTGCAATTTATAGAAGTAAAGCAGAATAAAATCCAGCAAGATCAGTAATATGTCAATTAATTATATGCCACATTCCCATGTAAATATCTGTCTTTGGAGGATGTGTTTTTTAGCACCCCTAGTTCTCTCATTTTTATTCCAAATACAATTTATAATTTGAATCACAGGGCTATTTTTATCTCTATGGTTCAGTATTTTCTCAAGTAGCAACTTTAACTGCTGTACTTTCCTGTCTTAAAAGGCAGAACTCTTCTAGTCTAAAAAAAACTCATTTGTTGAAATGGAGGGGCCTATTGTTTGAACCCCTTAGAAGCTTTTAAAAACAAAAATGTCTTTTTTTGCGCTTTATGAAACAAAGTACCCTATATTTTGTGGATGTACATCTACATTTCTCATGTAAGTTTGCGTAGTTTTAACACAAACATTTATTTTTCATATTGCACCAGTACAGTTAATGAGCAACCTGTACTTGTGTGCTTGTTTGTTCTGTCTATAATGTTTATTTTGGAATAAAGAGGTTAATATAAAAAATATTTTTTGTCCGATTAATCGAAAAAATAATCGTCCGATTCATCGATTTTTAAAATAATCGTTAGTTGCAGCCCTAGTTTTTTCCAGTTCTAACAGGCCTTTTCTGCACCAAAAAGAACTAAAAACAAAGAATGTACTGAGGTACACTTACTGAGCCGAGTTTCTTGTTCTCCGAGTCGCAGCTTGAATTAAGGTGTCATGTGCCGATCCAACTGCATGTTGTCCTCCTCTGGTTAAGTTCTGTATTTCCTCCTCCACCACCGTCCCCATAGAGCTCTCCACATGCTGGCGGAGGTATCTGACAAACTCATAGCTGAAAGAACAAAATCCATTCACCTCTGTAAATTTCAATAACATTCTATCATGGTTTAGAGATCATGACCCTAAAGTTAGGACACAACCTGTTTGTGGCCTTACTTGTGGAAGTTCTTGTCAGTCTCCTCCAAACAGAGGAGGATCTCTTCAGCACTTTCAGGGGATGGTGCTCCAGAGATCTTGTCACTGATGCTTCTCAGAAGCTGCTTGAGGAGCGTTTGTAATTGCAACTCATCATCAGCAGACAGCTTTGACATTGTTGAACTGATGGATAAAAAGACAAATACTTGCGGGATTATAGGATCCAAGTTTGTCAACAGTGGGAATAAGAAGATAAAACCTGCAGTCATTGTTTAAACTAAATATCATTCCTCTAAGCATAACAACAGCTGTAAACGGTATCTAAGGATAGACAGGGAGGTGTTTTTATTGCTGTTATAATGTGAGTTATAATGTTCTTCAATTCAGAAACATGAATGCAGGAAGACCTCAATTCACCACTGATAATCTGAAAGTCCATCGATTAGATACTGTTGTAGAAATAAAGAATGAAATCAATGAATAAATCTAAAAATATGCTAAAATTTTCTTCTTAAAAATGTATTTTGTTTATTTTAATAAAGACATCTATTTATTTTACTTTTTATTTATAAATAATTATAGCAGTACTTTTTTATATTTAACTGAATAAAAACTGTTTCCATATTATAGAAAGAAATAAGTTAACAAATGTAAGTAAAAGCGAAAGGAAATGGTTGATATATTTTAAGAAAACACATTTATGTTAATTAGCAAAAGTAAATAAAAGAAAATATCTAAAAAAACAACTATAAAATAAACCGAATGTAAACATGAAATATTAATTACATATCATCAAATAATGTGACTATAGCTTTTACTTTTTTATATTTGTTGCATTTATTTTAGGTCATTCGTTTATTGCATTGAGACATTTATTCGGTTTTGTATATATTTATCTTCTTTTAGCCAATTCTGGACCCCCACCTCATCAGCACAGCAGGCGGACTAATTAATTAATCTGCAACAGGTGTGGAAACCTGCTTCCTTCTATAACATCTCACGCTATTAAATGGTCTACTAGCCCATAAATACTTTACGTTTGCTAATATTATCCTCTTAAAACTCGGAACTCTAGGGGCTAAAGCTACAAAATCCAACCCTTCTTCACCTAAGTGATGCTAAATGATGCTAACTGCTAGAACACAGCTAACTACGGGCAAATTATCTCAGTTTTGCCATAATAAGAGTTGAACACTGTAACCCCTTCAAGCAACAGAAACCTACTAAATCATATATAGGAAAGTCAAGTGAGAAATAAGGCACATTTACCTTTAAACGAGGCAACAATAACGCTTTAGCATCACTGGCCATGGAAAGCCGTGTCTCTATGGAAACGACTACTCCTGGTTTAGGAGGGGCATCATGTTGTGTTAAGATACTGTTGGTAATTTCAAACTACATTTGAATTTAATAAACTTGAAGGCTTCGTTGATCAATATAGTTTACTTAAATACAACTATAGCTATATATTTAAAAAGCTTTCCCTAAAAATTGTATTCATATTTCACTTAATTAACTCGCTGCGTATTCGGACGCAATTTGGTGGCTTTTCTCCGGGAGATTTGAACGCACCAGGGATGACGCTTTACCGTCACGTGACCCAATGTTTTGTTTCTGAACCCGGATGGCGTGCAGGAGACGTTTTACCTTTTACAATGACCGTAAAAGCACAACTTTCATTTAAATTTATTCTTTAGGAAAACGGCTTTTTATATATTTTTGTGTGTGCCTAATAGCTTTACATTTAACCGTCCCCTCGTTCACTTTTAAGCATTTAAAAGGAGTAAACATCACTAGCAGCGTGTTTAGCATGGCGGCTGTTGACAGCTTTCACCTTTTGTACAGAGAAATTTCTCGGTCTTGCAGCTCTCACTTCGAGGCTCTGGCCTTGATCGGAGCTCTGTACACGGCCAGCAAAGCAGTTGTCCTGCTGAGAGACTGCTGCACGGTAGTTAGGGTCCATTTCCTGCCGAGGATGTTGCCCAATCGTGGGAAGCTGACCCAAAGATATGGGGAATGGGCTGTTATTTATGGTAAGAAAAAATTGCAATTGAAGTGGAACTGCTCACCACTGCACTCTTAAAAATGCAGTTTGCTATTTTTAGTTATTTGAAATTTAGTTTTAAACAGACATATTGAATATACTCCCTGAATTTGGTGGTAGTGCTAAAGCCTTATTTGAATCAGGTGACTAGTTCCAACATAGAGATTAGCAATGCATTGCTCCATCAACTTTACAGGTGTGTAAAACCCTTGTTAAAATTAGGAACTTTATGTTCTTTTTAAAAAAAGACTTGATACTGATGATGATGTAATCACTTTTACAATGTTTTAAAGCAGGGGTCTTCCACGTTTTCCAGGCCAAGGACCCCAATTGTATGAAATTATGTTCTATCAAACTGGTTCTATAGTCACTCTATTACAGATGGAGTCATGTAATTAAAGTAATTTCTCTCTGGGATTATTAAAGTATTTCTGATTCTGATTCCTGATTGATGGGGCAGGTGTTGTGAATGAAACGGTGCCCAGCTTGAAAGATCCCCTGTATGCCACTGAATGTCTGCATTGATGATTGAAAGACATCTTCTGCCTCCATTTTTCTGTTTACCACAGTGTGTTGAATTCATGTTAATGTGGATTTAAAGACATTTCAATTAGTGGAAAGAATTGCACGGGGGAATATAAAAAAAAAAAAGTAATGAACCAAAACTTTCGCAACCCCCATGCAGTACCTCCGTGGACCCCTTGTTGAAGACCTCTTTTTTAAAGAATCTTTAAGTAAATTTTGATTTATGTTTCACCCAATGTTAAGTACAGCAGCTTCCAAACTAAACCCTACTTTAGGTGTGGCAAAATGTGTTAAAACTGCTCCCATTTTTTTTACTTCCACATGAAGAAAAAAGTTTAAAAATCTCTAACTGTTCGGCATAGAATAATTCTGTCCACGTTTAATCGAGTCTATCAAAGTATTTCAGATATAATAATATGAATATGTATAATCAGTTCTTTAATATGTGAAAAGCCTTTTCTCACTATAGTAGATCTAATTATATTATTTTGGCAGTTTTTCTTTAGGTGTATGACCAAATCTATCTTCTCCTAACAGGTGCATCTGAACCAGTAGCTCTCGCATATGCAGAGCAGCTAGCTCAGAATGGCGTCAGCATCATCTTCATCACTGAAGACGGTTCCACTGTGAGAGACGCCGTTGCATTCCTCTCCCAAACTTATGGGGTGGAGACTTCCGTTGTCACTGCAAGCTTCTCTCTAGGCCAAGCACCGGTCAAACCCTTATTAGAAGCTTTGAGGGGCAAAGATATTGGCTTCCTGGTGAACTGTGTGGAGGAAATATCGGCCTCACCCAAAAGCCTGTTAGAGATTCCTGAGCAGGGTGTGTTGGATCAGGTGAATAGAAACGTCACTGCTGCTACTCTGGTTGCCAGACTGGTGCTGCCAGGGATGGTGGAGCGCGGCAGAGGGGCAGTGGTAAATATATCTTCAGGGACCTGCTGCAGACCCCTACCTGGAAGAGTTCCACTCACGGCCTTCGCTGTAAGATAAAGTCTTTAAGGAATTAATTTTTGTGAGAAAAATGGCGAAAAATAATCAAATGAGCCAGATTAGATACACAAAAAATACACTTTTAGGTTGAACCTTCATATAAGCAACTAGTTAAGCTTGTTTTCATTTCTTTCTACAACATTTAATACTTGCACTAATTTCATTTTTTCCACAATTGCAGGGGTATCTGGATCATTTCTCAAGAGCTCTTCGTTTTGAGTACAGCGACAGAGGAATCTTTGTTCAAAGTCTGATTCCTTTGCAGGTAATTAACTGTAGAGATCTCAGAGAGTTTCAGGTTCAAAGCATGTCACAAGCATCATCAACTTTTCTTTAATTGATTAAACTGCACATTTAAACAAAAAGTCTTTTTGAGACACTAATTAGGAATTGAAGAATGAAACATAAAATACATCGCAAATGTTTTTATTTTTTTTCTCTTGCACTTTCTAGTATATTATCTCTATCACTACTAGAAACTTTAATTATCTGTTTCATTGTTTTTTGCAAAAAAAAGTTCAGATTTGCCTAAAGAACATCAATTTTCAATTGTTAAAACAATTTTGTGTATTGTTTTAATTTAAAAAAAACCCGTTGTGCACAAATTAAGCAGATTTAGATATCCCTGAAGTTGTTTTTTTGTCTTCTATTTGTATTTCAGATAGCTTCAAGCAGAGATCAGTCATCTTCTTCAAGAGAAGGATTGTTTGCTCCAAGTCCAGGGATCTATGCTCGACACGCTATTTCCACCCTGGGGGTCTCCAACAGAACCACAGGCTACTGGCCTCATACACTTCAGGTCAGCAACATGTTTCTAAGTGAATTTTTATTCCTTATGTTTGAGGCATCGTATAGTTGAAATAAAATCAATAAAAAACTGTTTCTTTGTTGTTGTTTTTTTTCTAACAGTATGGACTAATGAGATGTATTCCTGAGTGGATTTGGATTCTGGCGTCTCGGATGTTCCTCATCTGAAGCTAAAACCTGAAAAAGACTCTTACTGGATCTCGTTACACAAGAATGTTGTTCGACATTCTTCTGACAGTATTTATTGATAATAAACCCCAACATTCTAAAGTTGGTGGTTGAAATTGTTCTAAATTGATGAAGAAATCTACCATTAAAACGAATGAGTTTAAAACAATGAGTGTGAAGCACTGGTTACAATTTAGTTTAAATCTTGGTAGATATGAATGTAAAGTTTTGTCTATTGAAAGACGGAACCAACAGCACTACAGTTTTTTTTTTGACAAAAATAATAGGTACTCGGTACATCAGGTAAACTGATGTTTTCTATTTTCTTTCTTTGTGCTTAAAAACGTATCAAGAAGATTTTGCAGAATTGCTTGGTTGCTTTCTGTTTTTTACAGCCTAGCTGCGTTCTAGTTTTAGGCTTTTAAATGAGGAAAAATAAAAAGTCGTTATGGATTAGTGCAGACATTCCTACAGAGGTCAGGGGTCAGGTTTTGAATACCTGCCCTGTCGGGGAAGGAAGGAACAAGGAATAAACTTTGTAAATAACTATATTTTATTACTTTTTTCCATTATCCACCAAACTTGGAAAAATACTAGCAGTAAATTCCAAACTTTTTCGGAGTCTACAGAGAGATAAAATGCATTATGAAACAAAGCTACATAAATGTTTTCATTAGAGCGTAAAGCCAACAATGGAAGAAAAAAAAAGCTTCAAATTATTCCTAAAGTTTCCTTTGGCTATAAATGTAAGCGCCATCTTGCACTGTTGTGTCTTCATCTTATCAGTCCCTCTTACGTTGGCAGAGACGGAGAGTGTTGCACTTTATCAAAATCACAGAGAAGTGTGACGACCAAAAGTTAAGCTTTTATTGTCGAAACTGGTGCTGTGAGCTTCAAGCAACTCCTAAAGTATGATTAAAAAAAATAAGTTCTACAATATATGTATATTTTGAATTTTATGAGGGTGAATTTTAAACAGTTTGGGTTTGATTTGTGAAACTGTGTGATTATAACTCAGGAGGTGACCAATAAAGCTTTTTCCATTCACGCATCTGATTTCTTGTTACGTCTTTCGTCTTAATGCATAAAATAAAACCAGTCTCAGGAATTAGCTATTTTTCTATATCCTGTCTTTGCTTTCAGCATATTTCTTTAAAGAATTTATCTGATCAATATAAGGTCAGTCAGATTAATGCACCTTTTCCTCTGTTCAAAGCAGCAGGTGCAGGTCAATGATTCACGTCTAGAAAGCAGAGTTCAGAGTTTTGCAACCAGGCAGTCTCGACGGAGGCCGTTTCCAAACCTCATAAACAAAGCTGAAGTGCACATAAACAAGCTACTCTACTCTCACCTGCATGTCAATCTTTCAAATATTAAAGATAAGCCTGGAGACAAAAAAGCTGCTGTAGTAGTCTGCAAGGCAAATTGTTTTGAAACTTATGAAATACAGCGAATTCATTTTTAAGTGGACATCCAAATTTTTGTCTTAATCCAAATATTGACAAAAACAATACTGCGTGCCTTATTAGTAGGACCAACAGCATACTGCTACAACTATAGGTTAAAAGCTAAATAAATATTTATCGTACTTTTAAATATCATTAGTTTATTTATGCATGTCAACCTTTCAGGTGTTTTTATTTGCCATATTAACTGTTTGCCTCACCCCCCCTTTCTAATATATTTACTGATTTCCTTTTGTTATTCAGTTCTAGATAAATTCACTTTCTTCATTTATAGTCAAACATAGTGGCGGTAGCATCATGCTGAGAGAATTCATTTTTTTCGTAAGGCGAGACAAAGAAGCTAATGAGTTGGCAAAGAAAAG